AAGCCTAGATACATCTACACTGATCATCTTGTGTGACTGTTGTTCTTTTTTGGTGCTTACATTTTTCAGATTACATGGATAAAGCCAGTACCGAGTTAAACATATCAATAAACAAAGGAATTTCATTGAAATACTGTTTTTACTAACCACATATCACTCCCCTCAGTTACAGAGCACTGTACTACCAGAACAGCTGTTTATTGGTTACCATGAGGTAACAGCTGTTAACATTGGTTACCATGAGGAAAAACTGAAGTTATTAGTGTACAGCTAAATACTTGTAGACTAAGATTTGAGGACTTGAATTTATTAGAACTGACTAAATTATTTACCACAGGTATCTTGCATTGGCTAGGAATTGTTATTTTGAGGGCTGGTTGGTCATGGTACTTACTAGCTCGTACCACAGGGACTTGTTACAGTCAGCACAGCCCCTGTGATAGGACCCGTATCTATCTAGTAAAATCCGACTGAAAAATAATGTTGTACATATTTAAGACGCCGAGGTGTAGCAGAGCCCATATTTATTTAATATAGCTTGTAAAGTATTGTAAATATGGATAGAAGGTAAATCTGTGGGCGCACATCTAGATTTGTTTAAACGGCTTTAGGAGAATGTTTAACTCGCATCTCATGCAATCAATGGAATTGGGAGGGAGGGGAAAAGAACCAACCAACCAGAAAAAAAGGGACTTTACTAGTATTGTAACTTCTCCCAGGGACCATTTCATACTATTTTTAATAAACGTTGAGTATGCAAAAGCTTTGGGTGCTTTTCATTGCGGGGCGCGCAAGAATGAAGTTATTGGTTACAGTCTGTCGGAGCTGCTGTTCGGGGGTGATGTGGATGCAGTTTTTCTCTTGCAAAGAAAAAGCGGAAGCGACAGCGGGGGAGCGGCGGGGCGGGGTGCGGGGCAGGCGGCGCTCCATCCCCGCCCGCCCCCGGCCTCGCTCCCGCCCCTGCCCCTGCCCCTGCCCCTGCCCCTGCCCCTGCCCCGTGCCCGCCGCGGCTGCCGGGGCGCCCCGGAGCCATGAGGAGCGCGGCGCTGCGGCGCTGCCTGGCCCCGGCACTCACCGCCGCTCCGCTGCCGCTGCCGCCGCGCCGCGGGCTGAGCGCGCCGCTGCCCCGGGCCCGCAGCGCGGCCGCGGCCGCCCGGTAAGAGGCGCACGTGGGGAGGCAGCGCCGGCTGATGCAACCGGGGGTGCGATGGTGTGGGCACGCAGGAGGAGGGGTGGGGGGGATCCGGGCGATGCGCCCTCACCGGGTGCGTCGGGTTGGGTTTTGAGGTGGGATTTTGGGGGGACCCCGTAGTAAGATGCCCCCCTTCCCCCAGAGGCGCTGGCGGGATTTGCTCCGGGTTTTGGTTTTGGTGGCGTTTTGGGAGCGGGCGGAACTGCCGTCATGTGGCGGTGGCTCAGGTGAGGCGGTGCGCAGATGTGTGCCTGGAAAAACGTGTCCCTGGTCCCTTCTCGTCCCGATCAGCCCTGGTCGGGATAGTTTGCAACGACATTGAATTGAACTGGTCCTTGGCTTCTGCAAGGATAGGAGCTGTCAAAAATCCACTCCAGGCTGTTCTCTGTCTTCCTTGCTATGGGGGACAGACAGACAGGGGGTCTCCTCTTTGCCCACCTGCACCCGCAAAAGGTAACGGAGGAGAGCTGGCCGCCACTTACCCAGAATTTTTTTTCCAGAAAGCGTTCCCAGTGCCTGGCTGTCACTAGTTTTTCCAAGAAGTAATGTGGGAAACAGAGCTGCCTTGTCTCCCTTCTGCCAGTGGTTTTGAAAGGCATCCTGGAAGTGGCTGCTCTGCTGCCCAGGGGTTGGTGTAGCCCGGGTTAAGCCGTGGCAGCCCCAGCTGTAAAGGCTCTGCATCTCCCACTGCCCTGGCCAAGGGTATGGGGATGAAGGACCCACCTCACCCAACAGCTGATCAGACAGATCACGGCGCTGGTTCCCTTCCCATGGTGGGGCTGGACAAGCCTTCTCATGAATTAGCACAGACTAGCTATAAAGTTTTGGGCATGCCAGAGCAATGCCCACATACCTATTAAAAAAAAAAAAATTGGCCTTTTGAGGTTTTCTGTACTGGCCTGCTGAGCATCAGCCCTCACAGTTCACATCCAACCATAACTTTGCAGATTGAAAATTTACAAGCCCAAGCATCTCTGTTACATTGTTGACTAATGTTGGTTTCTGCCCGCTAATGTTTGGAGGATTTATTTTGTTAAAGATTTGCTTCTCACTGTGTTGCAGCAAAGTTACTGACAATGCAAAGAATTCCTTGGCCTCTCTTAAGAGAAAAAACCCCCGGCTTGAGCCAACACTTGCCATTATTCAGGTAAAGTATGTCTGTGCACTCACTGGCTGTGAGAGATCTCCTTTGGTACCATTAGTTGTCTGAAACTTGAGAAGCACACCCTGCAGAAAGTAATTGTAATCCTTTTTTATAAAGAATATTGTCTACTTTATTATAAAGCAAAGCAATAGGATGAGGTAGCTCCGCCAGATGGTAAATTGCCTTTCTTCAGGCCTGGCAAGGCTTTGCAAAGGAAAGGAACAGTTTTATCCCTTCTTCCTTTTGCCAATATAATCTTCGTTGTTTTAAGTATGGATCACATTTTCTCACACCTTGTCTAAGCTGATTAACTTAATAGTTGAATTAAAGTAGTGTTCTCAAACCTTTATTTAGCATAAAGCTTTTTTTGCAATCCTGAGCAAAGTCCTTACGTTCCTGAAAATGTGGGCTCCCTTCACTTACCACTCCTGAAATAACAATGCCAGGATTATTGAAAGGCCCTTTTGCTTCCTGTCAGCCATGCTACCATTGGGTTGCTACAGCTTATCAATGTCTTCCTGCTCTTCTAAGGAGAGGAAAACCACACTAAAAAGTCCCAGTCAACTCAGAAGGGTTTGTATGAAATAAGTGTAAAGTGTCAGCATCCTGTAAAAGTAGCAGCGCTTTCTGATGTGAAGGAATCTTGCAGAATTGAGAACCATTGTTATACTAATGCTGTGAAGAGATTTCCATTTCACTGATGGTGCCATTTTTGATAGACAATCAAAATCAGAGATGAGGATAGCTATCCTTGCCAAGCTGAAAGTTGTTCATTCTTAGATTTCTAAAGGTTTGAAAGCCACAAAATTATTAGGGATGTTTATCATTCAGAGGGGACCCACTTCCATGCTGGCAAAAATGTAATTGTCCTGTTTCCTAGGATGGTGGTATTGATTTTGAGTGGGCACACACTCAAACTGACCCAGTAGGTTTTAAGTTCAAAACACAACTGTAAGTATTTTTAAAGTACTGGTAGTGAATTTAAGTAATGCAACAACAGCTTTATTTCAGAAGGTCTTCTAGTGAGGCTGTCTGGACAGACTCTGTCATCTCTCACCCTTCCTGATAATTGCATTTTCACAGAGCCCTCTAGGGCTAAAGCTTAAGGATTGATAGGGAAAAAAAGTGACCTGTTTTTTCTCACTCCTGTTAGTCTCCAGCCAGTTGCACCATGATCTGGACTAGGACTGGGATCTACTCCAGCCCAAGGGGTCTAAAGACACTTCCTTTCAACCACATTTGTCTCCTGGGTCTGGTTTTCTGCATGGCCACGTGCGTGTTTTGTGCTGGCACAATGGGAGGAATGTCCCTTTTGTCCCTTTTATCCCACTTGGTCTGCCTCATGAGGTGCCTGTAGGAACATGTGGCCTAGATCCCTCTGGGTAAAATTCACCCAAGCTCTGTTCTCCAGCTTTCCAGTCACTCTAGCTCTGGTCTAGTTGTGAAGACTGAAGCAGAGCCCATTTTAAATGTGTATTTGTTGGTGCAAAGAAAATTTGCTTTGGTGTGCAGATGTTCTTGCATGCTCTGTTCTACCAGTAGTGTGGGCAGAGCCCTAATGTTTGTGCTGCTCCCCATGTGCCACATCTGCCCAGAGGAGCAGAGGGAGGGCAGGGAGGTCACCTCCTTTACTTGTGAGTAACAGCAGCTGGCATGACAGGGCACTGCCTCTTCTGCAGGGCTGGGAATGAGGAGCTGCAGGCTGAACCTGCAGTGGAATGATTTTAGGACTGTCCTTTTCCTCTTGAGTCAACTGAATCTGAATCAATGCCAAAATTGATACCTCTGTTGCTTATTATTATCCACGTTGAACCTTGGTTGAAGCTATGCAACAGCAAAAAATGATTGGGGGATGCTTCTTAAGTTTTTTGATGCTGAAAAGTAAAATAAAGCATCAGGATCATGCTTAACAGTGGAGCTGTTGCCCTGCAAAGCTCAGCAAAGCACCACTGGCTCCCCTGCACCTCCTGCCCTGCCCTTGCACTCTGCCAGCCCCTGTGCTGAGCTATGGCCTCACCTGTGCTGCTCAGTGGGTTTTGATAGGAGCTGGTTTAGGGCAGGGACTGTCTGCACTCACACAAGGTAAGTGTTCACCTGCCAGTGCTGCAGGGACATTACAGGGGACAGTGTGGTACCACCAGTTGCTCCATCCCAGTTAAACTTCTTGAGCAGTCAGTGTGGGGGCACAGTCCCACATTTACTGTCACAGGGGAGCAGCTGCTGGGCTGTCCCTAGACTGTCTCTTCTTCCTTGGCACAGTGTGAGCCCTGCAGTGTCCTCAGTGCAGCAGCTTCTGTGCTGCCACTCAGCACCTGCTGCCACACTTGGGGAGTGGGATGCTGGCAGTGCAGTGCCAGGAATGCTGGCAGTGCAGGGAGGGATAGAGGGCAAGTCCTCCTTCCCTAACAGGAGTTGTGCCTCTCCATGAAGCCTGTGCTTTTTCATCTCTTTTTTTCACTGTCAGCAGTCTTGAACTATTTGGGATTATCAGGGATGGCCTTCTGCTTCTTTCTTGGAATTGTTTCTTATTAGTTTGAATACCTTTAGACACAGACATTGTCACTATGTTTCTTGCATAGATGTGCATTAGTGTACTCATTTTTAAAATGTATTGCTTTAAAACTCAGTTACTGTTTTGTTCCCCAAGGCACATAATGACCAGTTGATTCAAGAAGCAAACAAGAACTTGGCCAAAGAGGTAAGCTTTAGCTGATACATGTGTTAATAATCATGAGCTACTTGCCTTTGGTAATTTTAAGTCTTTTCTTTCAACAGATTGGTCTACGTGTTATTCACATCTGTCTTCCTGAAGGCAGCACCAAAGATGAGGTAACTGAAGTACCTGAAAGAGCCTTCCTTTTTGATTTTTGTCATAAACTTCTATTTATTACTGACATTCATTATTATTTTGACTGACCTCTGGTAACTCAAATTAGGTTTAGGATTGCCTTGGTTTAAATAGCAAATATTATCCCCTTACTGGCAAGAGTGGAAAAAAGAGAATTAATGGGCATGTCTGCTGTTCCCTGGCAAGCTGGGGTAGAATCAAGAGTAATGTTTTGGGTTTGTGCTTGGTGTTTAACCCCATACCAGCTCAGGTATCCTGTCTTCCACAGTTGCTCTTCTGACTGTACCTGATTATTACCCAGATTATTCAGGGAAATTATAGATTACATGATTATATGGGGAAGGGAGGGGAAAAGAAGCGGATGTTGAATTTGTCTATTGATCTTTTAATGTTTCAATTATGTATTAAAAAAGAAACATCCCCCCCAAATGACTAGAGGCCTGAATTCTTTGCCTTGTTGAAGGTGCAGCACTTAATATAAATTATGTTTTAAATATAGAAAACCATGTGAAAATTAAACCAGTGAAGGACTGTGTAGTAGAAGATGTCTCTGTTATCAGCTGGCCTCCTTGTGCTTGGCAAGTTTGATAATCCTGCAGGCTTGTGAGTTCTGTGTACTCTTTTGTTTTTTGGTACACTTTGTTCTTAAAATGTTGCTGCCTTGCAGTGTAATCTCAAGAACTGCTTCCAGATACGTTGAAAGGAATTTATTGTGAAGTTTTGTAGATTATGCATAGTCAGCTACCCATTTAAGAAGAGTGGGCTTTTGAAATGAAAAGCAAACTTTGTTGTTGGAAAATGCATTTTATCTGTTGAGTAACATAGCAGGAAACAGGTAAAATACAGTGACTGTGCAGCAGTAGTTGCAGTTAGTTTGAAGTCGTATCTTAGAAGTGGCTTAGCTGTGTATTTAAAGAGAAAATTGGGGTATTTCTTTTATTTAAAGGAAGTTATTTCCAATAAAATTTATCATGGTTTGCTGACTGTCTTGCTTACTCACTATGGCAGTTTTTTTTCATCTATTAAAATCCACATCTCAGTTGTGTTCCCTGGTGTGGGAAGGTGGGAGGGATTTCAATCCCATGCACATTTGGGTTTTGTCATAACTTCCTCTGTACAATAAAAGCATGAAAATACTATGCTACTTTACCCTGCATGAGTTATAAGTAATTTAAATGCTGTGATGATGGAAAGCTGAATTAAAGTAAGATGCAATTAAAATGGAAAAGTGAATTACTTTTCCAGGAGGCAGAAATACAGCTTGAGTTTTTAATTGCTCTGTAGGCCCTCAGCATTTTGTACCATATCAAAGGGGTTTTTAAAAAGAAAAATGCAGGTATTTTCATGTCCATATACATTCACCCTTTCTAGTGCAATGTATACCAGTCCTGTTGCTGTCAAGTGCCATGGGACCTTAAGAAATATGCCTGGCTTTGCCCCAGGAGTCAGGAAACTAAAGAGGCATTTCTGTACCAGTGACATGCTTTTGTAATCTGTGTTTAGCATGAAAGTAGTGTGTTCTCTTGGTTCAGAGTTGCAGCTAATCTAACTCCTGCCTAGTTCCTAGCTTAAGGTTGATTGCATATCAAGTGTTTGGGTAATAGAGTTCACAATTACAATGAATAGTTTAAAAGAAAAGCATTTTAAAAAGGCATGGTATTAGTTAAGGGAAAAAAAAAACTAATTATAATCCTTTACTGTTGGATATTAATCCAATTCTATTATAAAGCTTTATGATGCTTACACAGTGGTTTTTTATATAGGATGGGAAGACATGCTTGCATGACATTTCTCACCTAAATAAACATGTTTGACATGTTTTGTTCCTTTGTATTCTTTCTGGTCACAGCAGAATAGCATGAATCAGCATTATATTTTAGAGAGGAGGGAATCAAGGGTCGGTAGGACAGTCTCAGATGTCAAATATGACCAATTATAAACTACTTGAACTTGCATCTGGTTCAGAACTTGAACTCCATAAACTTCTCTGTGGTGCCTTTTCAGCCTAACAGTTCTTCACAAGGCAATTGCCAGCTCTTAGGATTGGGGTGTTTTGAGAAGGAAAATTGTTAACCATATATGCTGGTTTAATAAAATGATTTTTTTTCTTGTATAGTTGTTCTTTCAAGTGTTACAGCTTTTTGTCCCTCTGTTGGGATGTGATCTGGTCCTGTTTTGCACTCTGTATTAACTCAGGTGTCCTGTGTCTGAAAGCAGCTTCAGAAGCCATTACAGTGACAGCCTTTTGCTGAGGTTTGGAGTGCTGAAACACAAACTGCTTTTGGCAGCATAATGTCACATAATATGTGTTTGCTTTGCAAGATGTTTAGAATAGAGTCAGGGTGGCTTAATTTGGTAAGCCACTGATAATAAACTGAGTAGAGCTTTTTCATTTGGAATTTACAGTAATAAGCAAGAAAAGCCAAGGTGGCCATAAAGTAATTGAAGAAAATTTACAGGTTTTACCTCATTCTAATCATATTCTTCTTTTATCTGTTGTTCTGGTCTTTAATGTTTTTTATTAACTTCCTAGATTGTCAGTGAAATCTTGAGACTCAATGACGATCCTAACGTGCAGGGCCTTGCTCTTGACCTCCCAGAAAGCTTATATAGCAGTAAGGTATTAAATGCTGTGAAACCAGAGAAGGATGTGGATGGGTAAGTGGAGCACTGAGAAATAATGTTAGCAGGCACAAGCCTGATGGCTCTGTAAAATCAGTTTTTGCCTCTGCTTTTCATTAATGAATTCCTCAGTCAATGTGTCTAGCTGTGCTATTGAACAGTGATAAAAGATGCCTCTGAATCAATGAGAAGTCTTTTGCTGAAGTAGTTTTGGGCATTATCTTTTTATTTGTACATAAAATACATAATGTACATTCAGGGCATAGTCCTTTCAAAGAAATAAAAAATGAAATCTTGATTTACTGGCGATACTTAAGGTATTTCATCACTTCAGTAATACAAGTGGTAGGCACAAAGTACTGAATTTTCACAAGAAGGATTGATGGAAAAATTGCAGAGAGGTTTTAACTTCCTTACAGCACTCTCTTGTGGTGAGAGAGTAAGCTATAATAGTTTGGACCCATTAGCACAGATTTCCAATCAGTGTTGAGTTGTACTGCTCTCAGAAGAGACCACTGGTGTAATTTAGGTTTGTGAGTTATCATTTTGCTGCTCTTGTAGCCTTCCTGCTCTTAGCTGCAGGCTATTACCATTTTTTTTTATCCCACTCTCTTCTTTTTTTTTTTTTCTTCATGTCAGGAAAAATATCTAAAAATCCTTCAAAAACCTTTCCATTATGTGGAGTACAGGACATTGTCAGTATGGGAACACCTCTGTTGCCCCCTCCTAGGCCAGCTTGTCTCTGGCAGCCAGTCTGGTCTCACTGCAGCCACTGAAGTGCTTGTGCCCAGTGTGCTGTGGGTGACATGGTGACAAGTAAAGAGCTGCCTGTGTATCCTGGGATTGTGTTACTCATTCTAACTCAGATCCCTTTCCTGGCCTCTCTTGAGGCTCAGTGTTTCTCTAACTGAGGTGTGGGATGATACAAATTAGCTGCAGTACATGACTGCCAAAGGATTTGCTTTTGTGAGAGATGTTTGCTCTTGGGATTTAGCTCTTAGCCATGTTACAAGCATTGCTGAGGATTTATGCTACACAAGCTCTTTTTTATGTTAAATTGCCATATTTTTCCACTGCAGATTATCCAGTGTAAACCTAGGACGTTTGGTGCATGGTGATGTCTGTGACTGTCTGGTTCCTCCTACAGTGTGTGCTGTGATGGAGCTTCTTGAAGATATAGGTGAGCCCTTCTATCACAGTCATTACGTTAATTTTGGCCTGTTTTAATCCTGGGTGGGAGCCAAATATAATCTGACCTTATTGTGTTTTCTCTTTTGGGTTGCTTTCCCACCTGACATGTATTTATCTACTGCTAGTGACAAGGTGTCCTCCTGCTCAGTGACATCTGAATGCTGTATTTGCAGAAACAGTCTCAGGCCTACAGATTTTGGGTACTAGGCAGGGGTTAGCTGCCATCAGGAGGTTTAATTTCACTGAAGACACACAAGACATGTGAGGCTTCCAAACAAAAAATACAGGCATCAGTTGGGGATTTCACTTGATTGTCTTGATTAGTGTGAGGAGTTGGGGAAACCCAGGTTTGCCTGTAAATTGCTGCTGAGCAAATCCTTTGGTTTGGATTGTGCTGTGTCAGTGCTGACACTGAAATGGCAAATTCAAACAAACAGGTTTAGTGTGTGTGAAGACATTGTTGGTTTAAGGCGGTGTGTCAGAAGTTGTCTCTCTTACAGTGATTCCTAACTGTTGAAGCGAGCATTTCTGTAGCAGAACTGTAAACAGGAGATTAAATGTACTTAGTAACAAACATGAATGAAAGGATTTGTGCAAAAAAAAAGCCAGAAGAACAGTATTTGCTTACTAGAATTTAGAGAGTCACCAGGAAACTCCTGTGGTTGCTGTCACTGTGCGGGCTCCAGAAGAGCCAGCTGTGCTGCACAGCTGCTGTGCTGGTGCAGCCACAGGGCACTGTCCTGTTCTGAGCCCCTCTGCAGCCCCTTCTGCAGTGCTGCAGCCCAGAGTGGCCTGGGGGAGCTCCATGCAGCTGCTGGTGCTGGTGCCCTGCGCTGGGGGTGGCTGAGAGCCGTGCCTTGTGTCACACAGGTGGGAAGAAGGTGCTGCTGGTGGGGACACACGGGGCAGAGGGAGCTGCCCTGCAGAGCGTGCTGCAGCGTCGCGGAGCCGCCGTGCTCAGCTGCCACTGGGGAGCCCCACAGCTGCAGAGTGAGGTGAGTGCTCTCCTGTCTGCCTGGCCTCATCCTGCATCCCCACTGCCTGCCCATCCCTGCCCACCTGACAATCCTGCCCTCAGCTGCCGTTCCCAAGAGGGAGACTCCTCGTAGTCTCAGGAAGCACTGGAGTTGCTGGTAGCCAATGTGGGTTAGGGTCTTTTCTCCTTCCTGCTTGCTCAGAAATGGTGCAAACACTGACCTCTACCAGAATATTACATGCAACAGCAGCTGCTCTAACTTAATTATTTTACACTAAGAGAATCCAACAAACAAATGTTTTAGCTCTCCCTTTCGCTTTGTCTCTGTGCAAGAGAAATGCCCTCTTTTTTTTCTTGTCCTGTGATTCTGTCATCTGCATGAAATTATGTCCACTGGATTTGTGTCCTAAGGGTTTGCAAGTGTTGCTGCTCTTGGGACAAAGAAATCCCAATCTTTATCTTTGAAGAGAACCGTAAAAGAATTCAAAGAAATTCAGGACTCTTAGCATGCATCAGGAGTCACAGCATGATCTCCGTGTCTGCTTTTTGCAGAACTTTTAGACACAACTTAGAAGTTGGTATGGCTTCCTGTGGAACTTAACAGTTTGTTCCTTAGTCCCAGATTCCACAGAATGCTCCAGCTGGGGTGGCACTGTCCTGGGGGCATGTGCAGCAGGGCGCAGGCTCGGTGCTGGGGACAGCTCTTGTGTTGGACAGCTCAAGCCGCAGGGTGGCAGCCAAGGCAAACCGATGGGCTCCGACCGCCGGGCCTTGGAGCCGCCGACAGGAGGAGGAAACAAATCCGAGCAGCTGGGATAGAAAGTTCTCTGGCACACCTGTGTTTTCACAGCTGTGGATGTTTTTGTCAGGCCTGTCTCAGCTCTGGGCTTTTAAGTGACTGACAGCACTTAGGAAACATATGGCGCTCTGGGAGATGGAGTGCTGTGAACTTGATCCTTGCCATGTCTCATTCCTCAGCTATTTCTCACTGCTCGGGGCTGTGCTAGAGGACTGCCCTGGGCTGGATGGGCTGGGTGACAGGGTGGCCAGAGGTGTTTCCACTGGTACACAGCAAAAAATCTGGATTGGGCCCAGAGCTGCTTGTGCAGTGCTGTCAATAGCTGGAGAGAATTCTGTTTCCTTCCATCCAGATGCTTTCCCATAATCATGCTTTGCTTTTTGGCATTCCCCATAGCTTACCTCTTGGATCAGGCCACTGATGGGAAACAGAATGGGAAGCCTAAGTTTGAGGCTTTGTGCACTTAAGTCTTCCCAGGTTCATTTTAACTTTTGGCAGTAAAAGAGTTTGTACTTTGCCTGTGGGACTAATCAGCAGAGCCCAGGGGAAACCTACCTTCCTCTTCCTCACCTGTGAGCCTGGAGCAGCATGTCACCAGTAATCCCAGAGCTGTGCTGAACCTGTCTGGATGTCACTCTGATAGTTAACTCAAATTCCTTGATAAAATCTAATGCATGCAGGGAAAACTATCCTGTTTCATATTCCCAGAAGCCGGAGAGTCAGAAACTGAGCACAAGTTTCTAACCAAACAATGAAGTACTGTAGCAACTTGAATTTGAATGACAATGTTGTTAGATAACATGATTATAGAATTTATATTCTTCTGCTTGTTTAAAATGCTGATTATGAAAAACAGGTTTAATGTTCACCAGGTTTCTTCTCTTGATTTTTTTAATTTGAATTTCAAGTAAGAAAATGTGTTAGTCGATGTTTAAGTTTTTCAAAGACTTAAAAGAATCAAAAATTCATGTTTTGTTTTTCCTGCACAATACAGTAACTTTTCCTTTCTCTGAACAGGACACGTCTACGGTGGCAGTTTGTGTGCTGTGGTTTGGAAGTATAACCTATGGTAGCATAATAAATTCATTTAGGAAGTGAGGGATAAACTTATGAAGAGTATGATTTTTTCACTGAAATGCATTTGTTTACAATATATACCAGGAAAGGAGAAATTTATCTTAAGGGTAGGAGAATGTTATTTGTTGTAACCATTAGCCAGGCCTATTTGCATTGGAGCACTAACTCTGACCTTAACCATGTAATGCCTTTCTTAAGTGGTTACTGCATTCCCTTAGACTAGCTCTGATGATTTGTTCTTCTTTTTAAAAAGGACAGCATAACAACAAGTGTTTCCTTTAGAAATTCTTTTAATTTAAATGAGTTACACAACACTAAGTTTGTAGATTTTTTGGATGAGGTTTGGTATTGCTATGCACTTGTTATTGCTTTTTTCGCTTGTGCACTTTTGCAAAAATATTTTGAAAATGATCAAGAGGAACTATGTTTTAATCCACCTTGGGAAAAGTTTGAAAACATAAGGGTAGCTCTCCTAACAAACAGCATAATGCCATCTACCATCTGACTTAATGTGCTCCTTTAAAGCAAGCCTGTTCTGTCTTATGGCAGGAAAAAGGAATAAAATAAATAATGGTACATTTCCATTTCATTGCTTTGATCTGAAATAATGGACACTCAATGTTCATTTCCCTCTCCACTTCATGTTTTTTAAGTTGAGGAGATTATTAATATTTCTTTTTGTTCCATTTTGGTTTGCTTGCCTTCAGTTCTCACAGCACAGCCGTGTCCTTCAGAACTGTTGAGCTTCCTGGGTTTTCTAATAGTTCACAAATGGAAGAAAGTATTTTGGAAGGTTCTGGCACATCTGTGCAAAGCTGTCATGAAGAAACATTGTTCTGTTTGCATTGATAGGTTCATTGTAAAAGAAGTTACAAAGTGAGAGATAAAGACACAAGCATCTTAGAGAAAATACTTAAGATGTTATCATTCTGTTAAGCTTTGTGTAGATGCTCTTCAAAGCACATTCACTGCATTGTGCCTGAAGTATGACCTAGTGACGTACTTTTAGGGACATGTCCCCTGTAATTTTAAAATGGGACTCCCCAAAAGTCAGTTCCATATTACATGTGAAGAATAGGAGCTGATGTCTCTGATCCTTTTTAATGTCAGAATTATGCTTTCTAGTTTGAAAGGAAGTTGTCAAGTAGATTCATATTGAAAAAAAATGGATTATTTTCTTGCTAAAACATGGGTAATACTTAGTACCTGTAAGAAAACAGAATTTTGTTTCAGTTACCTAAATTGAGTCAGTCATTACTTCAGCACATCATCTTTAATGTTGTCCGTGTGTGAACCACATGGTGTCTGTTTTAAGAGAGCTGCTATCATACAATTTTGTTGTAAAAGAAGTGAGCATTGGTCTGTCTAGGTATAATTAGGAATAGAAAAGTTGTTTGCAAAAGTGAGGTTAAGAACTATGAGAGTGGTTCAGTGGTTCAGTGGAGTGCTGAATGGGAGTTGCCTTTTCAGCTTCTTTTGCCCACAGTGTGCATTTACTTAGAGCCAACACGTGAGCTTCAAACTCTTAGACATTTCTGAGCTATTTGCTCTCCTAGTTTTCCTTTCTTGCTAAGGCTCTTGTTATGGGCAGAAGAACACATTTTGTATTGTAAGCATGAAGGAACAGGAGACCAGGCACATGGATCCTGTAAGAGGTGAGGAGAGGGAAGCTCCATGAGTGTTTCTAATGATGATGATGTAGACAAAGTATTTCCACTTCAACATCTTATGCACATCATCTCTGTTCCTTGCAATTTTGAAGTGTATCCCAGTGTATCCCCTGTCTGTAAGCTAGAGGAGCAGTTGCTAAAGTGTGGATCATAGTAGCAGGCTGGAGCCCACAGCAAAGGTGTGGGCTTGATTTTCAAGTGCACCGTGTAGAGCAAGTGCATTCAGGGTGATGTGGCAGGGAAAGCTGGAAGAAACCGTGTAATTAGTACATGCCTTGGTGGGATAAGTACCTGAAACTAGTCACCGACTGAAAAAAATTTCAAGATTTCAGAAAGTAGTTAGAATTGCTGTGGTTAAAGTGTAACCTGATCTGTAAACTAATGTGCAACAAGAGTTTTTTCAGGAAGAGAGTTGTGAAAAAACTTTAAATCAGATTTCTATTCCTCATCACATCTCTTTAATTTTATATGGCCTAGCTTCATACCCAGGACTCTGAGGGTCTACATTTCAATTTTTAATTTTAATTTTTATTCTGTTTGATCATGCATTTAAAAATGGCTTTTGTAGCAGTCCATTTTAACTATGGGAAAATGAAAATTTTATGCAGTCTTCACAGCAAAATGGAGTTTCAGTGATCTGTAATATACAGCTACTTTGTGCCATTATCATTTAATACTTGGCTGGAAAGTCTGTATTGTTGTTTTAACATTTGGTGTTCTGTCTTGGGAATGGGTGGTGCTTCTTAATCTGCTTCAACTTAAACCTTGGTGGAGGGGATCATATTTTGTTATGAGGTAGGTTGCAGATTATTTATTGGCACAGCTCTTCCCAACTGAAAAAATATTTACTGGTGAGAAGGCAGGATACTGCTGGACTCTTGGCTTTGTCTCCAGCCAGTTGCCTAGTGCATTAGGGAGGGTTTGGCCTGCTGCTTGTCATTCCTTCCTCTGGCCAGCCTGATGGGATGGAGCCTGGCTGTGCAGGAAGCGTGAGGCAGGCAGCCACATGCTCTCCCTCGTGGGTATCTCCTTGACCTCCTGGCTGTGGCTGCCTATAACATCTGGTTCCTGTCAGATGTGTCCTCTGTGTCCTCTGCGCAGGGACTGGGGTGCATTTGCCAAGGGAGGCTAACTGTGATTATTTCATTGGACTTTTCCATCTCTCACATCCGTGATCGGTTTCTGATGTAGGAGTTGACCCTGAACACGCGTGCCAAGGCTTGCTTCTTGCTTTAGTGACTAAACAGGCAGTCAAAAGGGTGGGTTATGGCAAGAGAGAAAAATCTAAAAGCAAAGGAGGCATGGGCACAACTTCTTGCAAGTGAAACTAAAATTTCCTGATGGAGATCACATAAATCTCTTCCAAGGATACCCAAAATTCTGTACACAAGTATTTTGCTTTCAGTGGACTTGCTCTCCCAGTTTCTGGATATGCATTTAAAAAATACTCACAGGGGAAAAAATCTCAAAAATGTTTGTGATGTATATACTTTATTGACTCTGCAGGAACTTTTTCAATAGTTGCACATAAAATATTGTTTTCTTTGTGAAATAAGGGAAAGGAAATCACACTGGGGAAGGCTCTGAGAATTCAGTGTGTCTTGAACCTGTGTCACAAATCTTTGCTGCCATGTGATACAACTTTTTTTCATGGAGGAGGTGGGGCAGGGTAATGAGATGAAAGGTCCAGCTGGTTTTCTGCTAAAATTTACGGGTATGTGTGATGTTAGCTATCCGAACCACCGTTAATGTTGGCTACAAAAATAATTGTGTTCAGCTGTTAAGAACATTTTTCAACATTAGGGTCGGTAGTCATAGAGATGAATATTTGGTTCCATCAGTTGTTTTCTGACATTACAGTTACTTTGAATCAATTCTGTCATAAGCATGTTGGCTGAACATTCATCAGAATTATTACTTGTTGCATACAGCTCTCAACTTGTTCATCAACTCAGGATGCTAAGCGCTGTGCAAAGCTCTTAGTCCTTGTCCCAGAGGCTTTGCATGGAAAGGCATCTTGACTTACAGTATATGATTTATAACTGCTAGAATATGAATTATTTTTTCCTTGCAAAAAAAAAAGGCTGTGATCATGCAACTGAGAAAAATCACTGTTTTTCTCTGTGTTGATGTTGATTGTTACAGCAGAGATTTCCTTTTTTTGCAGGGCAAAGTGTGCCTTCAGTGTGGTAACCTTGGTACATGAGGCATTGCAGCATCTTTTTATCCAGATTTCCTTGCAGATTTCCCAGTATCATTTGACCTGACACTGGACAAGCATTATGACTTAAGTGCCGCTCTAGGAGTGGCCTGTAAGCTGATATTTGCATTAGACTCAGGAGTGTGACCAATTTGAACAAGGCTGAATGGCTGTGCACAGGCAATCACAGGAGTGTTGCTGGACCTGTGACTGAAGCCTGAATCCGCTCATTGCATTAGTCATTTGTCAAGCAAGTAAATCTTCTCCCACATTTCTGGCTTTGTTTCCACATGGAGATCTCAAAGGAGGGTTAGGCCATCCTTGGGTCCTCTGAGGGGAAGATGGAGTTTTTTTAGTTTTCTGCCTTTTCCACTGCAGTTACGTTCTTCTCCCCTCCTGGATGCTCAGCTGTGCCAAAAACCTGCTATCCTGACTAGATTTGTAGCTGTTCTTTCTTGGCAAGAGTGTTGGGCAGGGCTGTGTCAGAGCACTTTTGGCCAAAAAAGAAGCTGGAACTCTTGTCAGTCACAAATCAATTCACAGAGTGGCTCACTGGGTTTGTGACACTTGGAATTAATTTGCATTTATCCAAAATATTACCGAAGCTGCTGTATTTCTGAAATAATTTTTGCAGTCAGGCTTGAGGCAATGCTATGTCTGTGTTTTACTTTTTTAGTGTATCTTAATACATCTGCCTCTGGTACTGTCCATTATCTCATGGTGATTCTGGTAAAGGACTGTTTCAGAGGAAGTGGGGAAAGAAAGGCACTTGGGTCTTTGATTATAAGAATTTTTGTGGTAACCATTTTTGCTCCAACATCTGCCAAGATGAGCTAAATCAGGAGCAGTGATTAGCAGACATGAGCTGAGAAGGAAAGAAGTGCTTTAATTGGTATTCAAAGGCACTGATCTTCGCAGAAGGGGCCATCCTGCATTCCTGACAGCTGGCCTGATTTTCTACTGTCAGACAATCTGACTGTACTCTTTATAAGTGCCTATTTACTGTCTTTCAACCCTTCTTTTTCTTAAGTTACTCAAAGTTATTTTGGACTTTAGGACAATGGTAGAACTTTTTGTTTGGAAGGATATAATTCCCATTAAATATTGTTAGTTTGACCTCATTCACCTGATCTCACATTTTGTTTACCTAACTTAATTTTAAATGCTATTAAGTTTTGTTTCAGGTAAGAATCAAACTATCAGTTTGGATAGTTTGGATCAGTTTTTGTTCTTGTTGTCTGTAAAAGCTTTGCTCAAAAGGCAATTGCTGTGTAAGTGTGAACATTTTAAGATGCCCATCCAAGTGTGTGTTTCTAAGATGAAGTGCTTGTTTTGTTTCTGGGGTGCTTTGGGCCGTGCCCAGCTCCATCACGCAGACGCGGTGGTGTTCGGCAGCATGAAACCCCATGGAGTTCCTGTGAGCTGCACAAAGCCTGGGGCCACCATCATCAACTGTGCTCGTGGTCCTCTGCCAGGTAAGGGGAGATAAAAGGTAACAGTTCTTGCCAGTGGTGTGCAGTGAGCCTTTGGGATGTGTGTGGCGTCTTGGTGACAACGCAGTGTGGTTAAAAGCCGCATCTCTGGGAGGGCCTTTAAAGGAGTGTGCACAGGGCATGTGCACACCTTTCTCTGGTGTATAAATAAGGAAAATATGTTAGGTGGGAGAAGAAAGGTTGGAACAGATTCTTCATAGCAGGATGGTTAGATAAGTGATGACCCAATGGATTCAGGGAGTTCAGAGTCAAAAGTCATCATCTGATGACTTTTTTGGGTCATCAGATGAGCTGTTACAGAGTTTTGCATAGTGTCTTACCCTGTGACTTCTGTGGACTCACCTGTAATATGAGAAAAGGAGAAGAACAGAAGAAAAATCAACTGCAAAGTGCTGTGAAGCTGCAGAGAGTGGTGCAGGAGGGAGTACAGAAATCATGTGTAGTTAAGAAGAGGCAGAATGTCTCCTGCAGTAATTTTTCCAACAAAAAAGGGTTTGGATTCATGTCCTTCCTTTTCCCCTAACTTGTTGTGGAGTGTGTATGTGTTCAATAATTTCTCAGTTGAAAAAATGTTACAGAATTTTCTTGGGAATAGAATTAAGATATCTTCCCAGAAGTTACTCTGCTGTTAGAATAATGTGTAATAATTATAACAATATATTAATTTTATTATTAATATATATATTAATAATAATAAACATGTAATTTTACGTTTCTCTTAAAATTCTATGAAGATCTCTAGATATTTTCTAGATTTTTGGTGTATATGAATTTGACTGCTCAACATCCCAATGAGATTATGCTGCAAATGAATAGGAAAATGAGGAAGCACATGGGTAGCATGACTGATTAATCTGGGTTTTTTTAAAATCTTATCACAAGTGCACTAGATTGACATCTATCGACCTAAAGTGTGGAAATGAGCATAAAGCTGAGAAAACTTAATTGCATGGATTTTAAACTAAGGATATTCCCTAATGAAGCAGATATTCCATGCAGAGCTAATGCAAGATCAGGCTCATAAAAGAGCAGCTGCTGTTCCTATGCCAAGCATGGCCTTAGCAATAGATTTTTTTCCTTGTCTTTCATGATATACCCTTGACTTGAACAGACACTGCAGGTGTGGAGATCTGGGTTATTATTCACTTGATTTTCTGAAGGCATTTGGACATTCACTGTCTGCCTCCCAAAGCAGATCTCTGATCCTGCTGAGGATATCAAGGGTGGGTACCAAGCCTTTTCCCTTCCTGATACTGCACAAGTTGTCCAAAAAGAATCCATGTTTTCTTTTTCCTGGACTAGTGACAAAGAGAGTCCTTGCATCTCTAATGCTCATTTGTTTCCCCTAGGGGTTTTTGGATATAATTGTTAAGTATCTGTAGGGCAGAGCTTGGCACACAGGTCTCTTGAGCAGGTACCCAGCCTACTAGCATGAGACAGCTTTACATGAAGGAGGAATGGGGGAGAGAGGGAAAGGAATAGAGAAGAGAGGGAGTGGTGGTACAGCAGGCATACCTAAAAATAAATAAATAAAAAGGAATCTCCCCTCATTTTAATCCTGAAGGCAGAAACCTCTTATGTGACAGACCTGGGGTGGTTCTGACAGGGTGGGATGAGCCAGTCCATGCAGCCTGAGTGGGCACCAGGAGTGACTGCACTGTCCCAGCACTGTGTGCTGCCTGGTGCAAGCCCCACTTTCAGACTCCTAATTCTCTGCATTGAGAATTGAGTCTGAGCCTTCACAGGCCTGAAAGTTACACAGTGTAACTGCATGCTACATCTTAAGACTTAAATATCTTCATGCCTTAGTTGCTCTAAAGAACTGTAGGTAATACTAGTGTTTCCCTTCTCTGAAAGAGTGTTAGAAGAACTGCATTACACACCACAGTAACATTATTTCTAATGCAGGAAATGTAAGATTTGCCATAAGCATATACATCTCTTTGCATTTTTCAAGTTGTAGCACTCTGTTGAGTACTGCATTTTTTTTTTGAAAGACAGCATGAGATTTTTATCAAGATAATTTAGGTAGAACTCATGTATCAAATGTCTGTCTTTTGGTAATGCTTTTGAGGTTGTCAGAACTTTGGGGTAACTCCAAAATTACAGCAGAAATGCATTTTACCAGCTATAAAAATGTTGGTCTCAAGGCTTAGTAGAGAGGAACATGAAACACAGGTGTCTGACAGGAAGAATGCACTTACTTTAGATGCAAGATGTTTGTGGAAAGCCCATGGTGGAGTAGTTGTGACCTTGGAGAAACAACTGAGTCTTATAACTGTCTCTTGACTTCCATGGAATCTGGCTGAGGTGCTTGGAAGTTGTTCTGGATTTTTTCTTGCTTTAGAAATGTCCGACTTAACATCTGTGGGGTCACAGGAGCTAAATGAAGCTTGAAAGCAATAATGGCCATGAAGTAACATTTGTTCTTGGTAGATGGTGGCTAGATTTCCAACTTGTGTGGGTGTGCATGTTGTCTAACACACTTGCATGTTTTAAAAGCACTCAGAATTTGCAAGGATGTAGCTGAACTGGGGAAGTGTAATGTTGTAAATCAGGAGAGTAGAGATAAAAGTGTTCACTCCAAAGTGACAATTCTTTTTCAAGTATTTTTTTGACCAAAGGTTTTTAAATTATCACAATTTTAAAACATTCTGCAATTTTCTAGCAGTGCAACATCTGCTTCTGTTGCACTGACAGTCTTGGAATCAGGTCAGTGCTGGTAGAGTCTTGCAGGAATATACTTTATATGTGAATGTATGAAAATGAAAGTAACTTTCTGAACAAAATTTAAGGATCCCAGAATTATTTGAGATTATTTGAGATGTCCAACTCCTTTGGGGTCACTTGAAAGCTGAAGCCCACATGGTTTAAGTATGTTAGTGGGAAATTCAACCATTTCCCCATCTCTATTCTGAGCTGCCTGAGCAGACAGGTAGCACCTGGCAGCAGCTCTCACTCACCTGCACAGTAGGGTATGAGTCAGAGGAGGGAGCACAATATCTAAAGTTCAGCTGATCTGACTGTAGTCCGAAGCAGAGAGTGCTATTGCAGCTTCCATGTGGAAAATTTATCCTAGGAGAGCTGTTGCAATCCTGTGATTGTCTTGCTAATTCCATGCATGCATGACTTTCACCTCTAGCTTCCCCTTCACCCCTGTAAAAGCCTGGTTAGTCATTTGTGGGGTGACTGTGTAGCATAGGCAGTCTGAGAGAAATAGTTTCTTGAAGGGAATTGTCTAATTCTAATATGTATTTACACACATGCTAGCTCTGCCCTGATAAAAATAGTTGAATTAAGCCAAATAACATAAAAAGTCAAAATGGTTCTGTAAAGCACAGCTGTCTGAAAGGGGATTTTAAACTTCATTCTTCCTACTTCATTTGTCTGTTTGGCAGCTCTCCCAGCCTGGTCTCAAAGCAACAAGAGTCAGCTTATGACTGTAATAGACTATTCCAGTAAAACTCCTCTGTCTAAATCTAAAGCTGAGCAACTCCAGAAGAAATTGTTGGTTTTTTGTTTGTTTGTTTGTTTGTTTTAATTGCAAATGTTAATGCAAGAAGAAGGACTTTTTAGACACTTTCTTAATTAGAGTTTAATATGAGGACTGTTGCCTTCAGCTTGGTTAGCTGTGTCACTGATGTGTGGATGCCTGCTGGCAGGAAGGTTTGAGAAAGGGTCAGGAAACACATGGAGTGAGGCTGAGGGTCTGCAGGGAGGCTCTCCTGCTCTCTCAGCAGTGGATGTGGGAGAGTGGGCTGTGGCTGCCACTCTGTCTGCAGTCTGAGTGTCCTGTGCCCTGCTGCCCTGGGACCCTTGTGGGGAGGGCTGGTTGTGCAAGGAAACGTGAGCCTTTTATGACCAGTACAGAAGGGCTGAACAGAGCAAGAGCCTGACCAGGTCAGGGCTTGCACTTCAGTTCCCCCGTGGCAGAAGGTTAAAGCTGTCAGCGTACAGTTGTTGTTTTTTATTACAATTGTATCTACGCCTATCTTCAGAATGTATCTATCTTCAGAATGTGGCCACGGCCTTGATATGCCCACAGAGACTAGGATGTGAATTTTGGAGAAATTGTGTCTAGATAAAAGTCAATGAGCAGCAACAGAAGAACAAGCCAGAAGAAGGATTACAGCAAAATGACAAAATAATATGTTTAGTTGGGGTAGCTAATGTATGATTATAATTTGATATATTGCCACTAGAAACAATCATAACTGTCTCTGAAGTTGAAGTCACTCTGATTTATGTAGACTTTCCAGAATACCTGCTTTTAGTATCATGCTGATGAAGATAACTGTTGCTATTAAAAAAAAAAAATTGCATCTACTATTTCTAAGTTATAATGATCCTGTATGGTATTTGTGATCATTTCATTGTTCTTGCCCATTGTAGTGTGTGTGTCAAAGAGAAGACATTCTTTACCGTGCTCATTTAGGTGTTCTGTTTAAGAGTGCATGTAGCTTTTCAAATACAGCTGTGTGAATTTCTTTGTGTGGGTTTGTGTAATATGTTTCAGAACATACAGTTACTCTCTGATTTTCATAGTCTATTCATCCTTCTGGTTGGTTTCATTTGAAGTATTAGAGAAGCCACCTATAATTTTGTCAGTAATATTGGTAAATTTCAAGTCAACCTTCAGAAATTTTTTATTTGTATATAACTTTCAAATGCACATGCTCCCACTCACAGAAGATTTGTGATTTATAACTGCAATACTTATATTTTTCAGAGAAACACAGCTATGGTCAGCAGAACAACCCTGCTGATGAAAAGACTGTTGGTTCTCTTGCAGTAGCAATGAGAATGCAGGTTAGTGTACCTCTGTTTGTAGATTGTACCAATGTTACAGATTTGTTGCTCTTTCTATAAGTTGCAGAAATTGCTTCTACAGTTTGTATTTGTTTTACTCGTTTGACCATCTTACATGGCTTCCATTTTAATAGCAGCTCTTAGTCAGATAGAGTAATACCTGTTGTATTTAATTAGAGAAAGGTAAATTAAAAATCAGACATCTCATAATTGTGATTAATACAGTAAAGGTTGGCAGAAGCACTTGTGTCAATAGGTTAATGTCACTCACTCTGGTAATACTGAGAAGATTAATTGTATCTGCATTTTTGCATTACAATGGATAGAGGGTCCAAAACTATGTTATTTAATTTTAGAAGCAGCATGAGTCAGTCAGTGAACAATCAGTATCTTCCATTATTTTTAAGGTGTGAGACAAGAATAGTAATTCTCTGTCTTGACCAGAGTAAAATGTCCAACTGCCTAATTAGAGAATCTTCTCTGCCACTTATGTGTTAGTGGGGTTGTTTCCTTTTGAAATGTGGTCGTACAATAGAAAAGTGGCTCTTACTTTGTCCTATAACCATGAAATGGAAATTTTTTTAAGTTTGGGACTTTTTGTTAGCCTTTGCCGTGGAAGTTATTTCAACATACTCTAGAGATTGTTTGAAATTGCTGTTTAGCATTTATGATGCAGCTGTTGTGTGCTGTTTTCTTGTTTAAAACCAGAACATGGTAAAAAACATGGAGCGATGGATCCAGTCCCAGCAGTACAGGAAGTGGGACCTCCACAGCTTAAAACTGCAGCCCCTCTCCCCAGTGCCCAGGTAATAAGTGCTTCTAAAGAAAACAAAAGTGAAAAATATTTTTGAAAAGAGCAAGCAAGTGTGACAACCTAAAAATGTACTGTGCCTAAATAATTTTTAATCTTATATGGATTATATGTTGTGCCATTCTCTTGTGTGCTTCATCATGACCATGGGCTTCTGTTTGATATCGATTTTTACTTTGATTTTTACATTGGAGCCAGGCTTTATTCCATGAAGTCCTAAAGCTGGAAGGTTTCATTGTCAAAGGGAGGAGAAGTCTTGTGCAGAACAGAACAGAACAACAGAAATACAAAAGGCAAGAGGTTCCTAATGGCTGAACCCTGGTGTAGGAAGGTGTTTAGTTAAGGCTCAGTGGTTTCAGTGGCTCAGTGGTTTGAGTTTGTATTTATTTTCTTCCCTCAGTAGAAGTACTTTCTTCTGCATTAGACTTTTAAATTCCTGTGTGGGTGTGAAAAGCAGGAAGCATATTTATTCTCATAGCCAGAATCTTTTCAATCAGCTCCTGTCATTCACTTCCCAAGGCCCGTGTCTGGGCCTCAGGGATTACAGGTCTGCCTTGGCATGATTGCTGACATCTCTGATATTTAAAGCAGTTGAGCTCTTCACTGTGCTAAAGTGCTTTGCTATGTGTTGGTTGTGTTGGGTGACAGAGAGAGGAACCAATGGCTTGAAAGTGAGGAAATTGTCAACAATTTTTTGTGCTTATTGATACGCCTGCTTCTGCAGAAGCTGAAGGAACCTCGCACCAGAAAAAAGTCTGAGAGAGTTGGAACTCCATAGTCTGGAGGATAAGAGAATCTTACCAGTGTGTCTAAATACAATGTACAGTAATACAAACAGGAACAAGGCAGGCTCTTTTCAGTGGAGCCCAGGGACAGAACCATCAGCAGTGAGCACAAACTGAAATCCAGGAAGCTCCATTTGAACATCAGGAAATACTTCTTCACTGTGAGGGTGACCAAATATTGACACAGATGTGCAGGGTGGTTGTGGAGTGTCCATCCTAGGAGACATTCAGAAGCCACCTGGACATAGGCAACTAACCAGCTCTGGATGCCCCTGCATGAGCAGGGGGGTTGGACCAGATGACTTCCAGAGGTCCCTTCCAACCCCAGCCAGTCTGTGATTTTGTAATTCTGAATCCTGCTGGTGTCGTTTTGGAAAGCCATGACAAAATACTGTATTTTGATTTATTTTTCACTGTCTCTTACAACAGTTCAATGGGAATGAACACAAATGTAATTTAAACTAGAGATGCCAAAAGAATGAGTTTTCTCTTGTGACCAGGGACTCAAGGAGGCAGAAATGCTTGAGATTTTTCTGGAATTCTAGAATTCAATTTTTAGAATTGAAGCCTAAAAAACTATCCTTAAATAATGCAATTAAAAGTTAAAGTATGTGATGTCATGAGAATGATGGTAAAAAAAACTCACAAAAAGGTATTCCCAACCCTCTCTATGACATTGTATGTTTAGTACATCAATAATTACATAATTAATAAATAATGGGGTGTGTGTGTATATATATACACCATAATATGTAGAGTATAATAAATATTATATAATTAGTAATATGACTTGCATTTATCTGCTAACTCTATAGCTTTGTCTTTTTTCTTTTAAATGTAAAAAATCCGTTCAGATGGAAAGTATCCTGTAATAAAATGTAAGCTTTCAGTAATACACCACGTTGTGTGGAAACAGATGGAGTATTCATTGAAAGTGAGGCAAAGCTGCTTAAGCACTAAAACTAAGAACATCTGCTTTTTGATTTCTGTGAGATCTGGGTTGAAGTATTTCCAAATATATTGGAAATGGAATGGAAAATTTTTTTACAGTATGCAGTAAAAAAAAAAGTCAGGTGAGTAGATGTAGAGCCTTCCTCCGTCTTTTAAATTTTTCTGTATTTTGTAAATTATCACTTAGCATTGTCAGTAGTGGACTTCTTGCTTAACAGTTTTCATTCATGCAGAAGAACCACTTTTGCATATCTCCAGCAATACTGAATAACATAACATATTGAATAATTCTGGTATTTCCAATACAGAGAATATTTTGTCAGACTAAAAGAGTCAGCAACAAATATAGACTTCTAAAGTCCAGGTATAACCAAGTCTTTAATTTTCTGTGTCTTGGGAAAATATATTTAGGAGGAGGAAAAAAATGTAAAGTAATGTTGTCGTATTAGTCTCTATCTTTCTCCCCTTGCTAAATGCATAAATTATTTTAAGGAAAATAGTCACTCTGAAATTTTTAATTGGTTAGATCTTTAAGGGACCACACTATCACCAACTTAGCAAGAGTTTTCTGGGACTGTATTTGTTTATATATATTGGAAGCTCTGAGTGAAAACTTCAGATGGTCTTTTGCAATGTGATGTTTGTAAGCCACTCCATCTTGTGCTCTCATTTAATTTTTTTGGCTAGCTGTGTTTGAAGTCACACATAGGAAGCCAAAGGTATATCCTTCTGTGAAAGAGGATACACTTAGTATGTCTTTGAAAGAAAGCAGGTTCCAGCTTAGTACTGTGATTGAGTAACTCCTTGTCCTGTAGTTCTGGATTATGCCATTGTTTGGGTGGGTGGTTTCTGGGTTTCACTTACCTGCTGCAGGGTGCAAAAGGGGGCTACTTGAGAGCTATAAATGAATAATGGAGCCAGTTTAGGATTTTCTCAAAAAATTGCAAGCCATTAAGTTGGCACAGACTGATCATTTGTCGACTCGTTGCAGAATGGCTGAAGTACGCACACAGAGTTGATGTCTGGTTGTAGTTTTATGTTCACTGGTGAGTATTTAAGGTCTTGCAGAATGTTTGAAAGTTCAGGACATGAGCTTTCATGACACTGCCAGATTCTGTCTTAAAAATACTGAGATCAGCTGAAGCTACAGGAAGAAATTTAGCCTGGTTAGGCTGAAAGTAATTTTTTAAGTTGTTTTTGTGGTAGTGCGAGCAATTCAAAGCCCAGGGAGACAGCTCTTCACATCCTGTGTTCCAGCCCCTGGGCTTCCATGCTGCAGGAACTTACAGCTTCTACACGCTTATGTGGACATAATGGGCAATGAGGTCAAGCTCACAAATGCAAAATCCATGATGGAATATTAAATCCAAAACCTCAGGTTGTCCAGGTCAGGAATTGCAGTTACAAAAGTGTCCCCTGCAGCCACATTCCTTCCGGGAATCTGTGGCTTGCCTCAGCTACTGCTCACCCTTGCTGGAGGTAGTTTGTAAGCTCAGTGGATGTTTTGTCTGAGCTCTGTGCTGTAGACTCCTGCTCTGTGGCCATTCTTAGTTTAGCTGTGTTTTAGAAGTGCATGAGTTGGTCTTCAAATGCCTTGTTTCCTTTGTTTCCTTCGGTGCCCTCGTGGGGAGCAGCGATGGTGGCGCTGCCCTCAGATGAAAGGCGCTGCATGCACAAGCTTCGGGTTTAGCGAGTGTGTTTGTGTGACTGTTGGCCAAGGAATGCATGCACTTTTTAGTAAATTGTATGTGCTGAAATATGCTGTGAGGGAGGAGAACAAAAGGGAAAAACAAATCCAGAAACATCCATTCCAGTGGGACGTGCTTGAGCATCCAGCAGACACGTTTCTAGCTTGATATGAAAGCATTACGTAATATTTGGAATCTGATTAAAGGAGAGCTCTCTGTGAAACTGTAACAATTAACAAACTCTGTATGTGATTTTCAATGTTATATTAGGTGTTAGTTAATATTTAGGTTTGGTTAATAAAATGTGAGAGGGAATTTAAAAACTCATTACAATAATTCCATTGTTGGATTATTTGCTGTTGTTTTGTGCTCTGTTGTCGACCACCTAAGCTGAGAGAAATCTCCTGGCTCCTATTTGTTTTCTTTTCCAGTGATATTGAGATTTCCCGAGCACAGAGTCCAAAAGCTGTTGATGTACTTGCCAAGGAGATAGGATTGCTTACAGATGAAATTGAGATCTATGGCCAAACCAAAGCCAAAGTACGTTTGTCCCTGCTGGAAAGGTTAAGGGATCAACCAGATGGAAAATATGTTCTAGTTGCTGGGTAAGAATGCTATGTAATGTAATGTCATTAATGTCTGCTGTTTCCACTCTTATTAATATAAACATGCAACTCACATCTTTTTTATACACACTTTACAAATAAGAATCTTGAATGTTTTCATCTGAATGTTGCTCTTTTCTGACAGTGAGCAGGTTTTGAATTTCTTTGAAGTAACACAGCTTTTCTTCCAAACTCTTTTTACTGAATTAAAGTGTATTTTGTAAAAGGTAATTTGTTCTATGATTCTGTGAAATGTTGGTGAGTGGAGTTTTTCTTACTGTTTTATCAGAATTTTAAATGTTTAACTTGGATATTTAAGGCTGCTTGCATTGTGGCTGTTTATAAACAAACATTAACAGAAGCTAGATGCTAATCTGTTGATATTAACAATAAATACTTTTTTTATTGAAGAACAGATTACAAAGTTTAAAAAGCCATGTTTTTTCTCTGAAATGTAGACATGTCTCCAGACAGGCTTATCCTGCTTGCTTTTCCCACGATTATAGCAAATGCAATGCTCAGCAGGAATTGCACACTTGTCTTCTGAAGAGCTTCAGGTTTTTCTTGCATTCAGTGACACAACCTTTTCATTCACCTGGTTTACTAAGTGGAAACTTCTACTTGTGAACAAACATGTGAAGGTTTTCATTAATACTTAAATTGCAGTGTGTCTTTATATTCTGAGTTAATCTATTGGTTGCTTCCTTTTAACTAAAACCAGTCAGGTTTATAATGCAGTTTTGGCTGATGCAGAAGGAGAAGGCTGTTGTTAACTGCCTTTACCTACTGATTCCTCACCTTGGATGGTGTTTCTCGAGCTGTTTGCTTTACTGCCTTCCTGTGGGAACAACCTGGATTTCTGGCACTGAGATGGAGCTGTTGTAGTCTGACTTGGTGTCACAAAGCTGAGGCAGGCAAGATATGAGGCTTTCCTCAAAGCTATGTGATAGAAGTCCAGTGTTGAAGATATTCCTGGAGGATGCTGAAGCAGTTAAGAGAAGCAAATAATAACTTGTTGAGCTATTATTGGTTTGGGTTTTTGTGGCATTGGAGAAACAAAAACAGGTTCAGCATTTAACTGAGTTTGAAGAAAGTTGCTGCCATGTATTTTCATGCTCATGATGTCAACAGCATCAATTGGTCATCATGCTGCGGACCAATCCAGGCTTCCCCAGCAACAAACCTCTCTCAGAAGAGGAGGTTATTTGAAGATGTCTGGAGGTGCAAAGATAGCACAAGTTGCAGAGCCCCATTCGGGTGGATTTTAGCTGCGTCAGATTGCATGCACCAGTGCTTACATTTCTTCACACTTCTTTGTCTCCCATTCTCATTCAAAGAAGGTGTATCAAGCAGTTGTCACAGAAAGAAGTGCCATCTGCATGTGGAAGAAATGCAGAAGCTTTGACCATCAAGATAAAAAACTGGCAAAAAGTAGAAAATTGTATTCTCTTTTAAGTTGACATAAAATATACCAATACAGAATGGTGTTTCAGAAACAAAGGGCTGGGTTTGGTACCATGCCAAGCTGGTGATGCAATATGTTGCTATTTGTAACATCTCTGGAGTCATTGCGTCTTGTGGGATTAGTGCAAAGCCACATCTGCTGCAGAAGTGCCTGGGCAGGGTCACTGCAATAGTGGGAACATTCTCTTCTGAGAGAGTTCAAAGCTTGACTTTGAAATATAGTACATATAAAATATACATATAATGTGTGTTTATATGCTCTCAGCTGCTCTCTCTTGCTGAAATGGCTGTAGCAGATGACAATGATTATAAGAAAAGCAGGGAACTCTGTCTGATGGGGAAGTGTTCAATGCAGTGAAAATCAAGTATCATAGAAGTGTGGAAACTGGGGAGTGACATATCCTCCTTTGCCTTCATTCTCTCCCTTGCCAAGGCAAGATCAACCAGAACCTGCTATTTGGATTATTGTGTTTGTTCACAGTAACCAAAGATATTTTAAAATTATTTTAGAATGATGCAGTGCAATGAAGCCTTCAGAATAAATTTTCAATGCTTCAGAGGAAATATTTAAGTTATATGTTTATACTTACAGTTCTGGTGGAAACATTTGTAATGTATGATGGGAACTTCTTGTGTGTGAAAAGAGTGTAAAGTGTGTGTGTATTCAAGAAACTGCAAAACCTCCAACCTCCATCCATGATGCAGCCAGTGACATTTGTGCCTTTAATTGCACATTCAGATTTAAATGTTTCACAATGTCTAGGAATTTATAAATATTTGCTGCAGATGCATGTCTAGTTTATTCCTGATATGCTAAAGACCAAACTTCTTGTTCTGAGCAGAAAATACAACTGAAATATACCTTTTTATCTCTATGGAAGGTTTTGGGCCCTTTAAAAAGTTGCTAACTGCAGTCTTTTTTGTTCCTTCTAAATGCAAGCAAATATGGCTAAGTGTCTCATCCATTATCAACTTTGTATGCTGAAGTATTATAAACTTTGTATGCAGTTCAACAGATCATGACACCTGAAAATAAGGTTAAGACTTTACTTCTTCATAAATTCCATTTACCTCTATATGGAGACCATTCTTTTATAATTTTTTTTTCATTCCTGCTTTTTTATTTTCTTTGTGTTTGGCTTGCTCTAGGGCTCGTGTTAAGACACTGGGGGGGCAGAGCCACAAGTTATTGTGGAGTAATTGGTTCTTGGGCATCAACTGCCTGCAAACAGGATTTTAGTGTGCTAAATAATACATCACAGGATCTGTTAACTCAAACTGCCTCCACTCATTGCCAGCTGAGAGCATGCAAATGAATGCAGCTTGTGCTTGACCTAGAAGCTAAGTTTAGTGTTCAGGGTAACCTAATCATGTATTCAAGCATGTACATGGCATATTCACAAACACAATATGAAATTACATCTGCAGTTTGTTAGAATCTATGTCTGTGTGTGTATGTTTCAGTATCTTGTTTCTAAATGCTCCAGTGTTGTGACTTTTAGCAGATAATTCTGCACACTTGTTCACTTCAAAAATGCAAGATGAGGAAGAATAAAAAGTGGGAAAATGATGAAATACAATTCTGCTTTTAACAAGAAGTGTGTTGGATTTTGAATGCTGGAAAATTTAAAATCAGTACTTTTCTCCTAACAGTAATAGATTGTTCTGTGATGAACCACCTTTTCAGTAAGGTAAAAATGGAGGGAAAAAAATCTATTTCTTTTTACTGTGTCCCTTGGGCTGCAAGGTGCTTAAAAGTAGTAAGTAAGTAAAAAGGAAAATACAAATTAGAGGAAAGATACAGGGAAGGATAAGAGGGGAAAATACCCCTGTGTTGATGCCCTGAATTGTCTTACAGTCCAAGGTAAAGTCATAGTTGAGACAGTTGTCATGTATTGGTCATGTCATTACTCAGCTCCTGATTGGGATTGTCGTGTATGAGTCTGTAGTGGATTATGAGAGTTTGTAGTGGAGGATTCCTCAGTCTCTTCCTGTCTTTGTTCAGTCATTTTAGCTTCATAGTGACCTCTGTGCTTTTGTATTTGGAAGCTCCAGTCCCAACCCAAGGATGCCACTGCAACATTGCCATAGCCTCATCTCGATGAGGTGACAGCAGTTGCAACACTTCTGTGCTCAGAAATACATCTTTGACAATTGTAATCTAGGATGGCAGACGTACATAGGTGGGAACTCAGTTGCCCATGGCCTCCATAGCCTGGCTTTGCAGGTTTCCATGTGGATCACACAAATTATGAACTCGTTAAAATCTTTGAACCTGCTGATACTTATGAGTTGAACATAGAAAATTTGAAAGAGAATTGTCACATATGCAGTGAAGTTCTTGCTGGAGTCACAGTGGCTGGTGTAGCTGTGAGGAGGTTACAGCTGGTGCAGTGTATGTCTCCCTGTTTGTTTATTTTCTCTTTGGGAGACCTCGTGTAGCTTTCCCACAGAAACAGCTCTGCTGTAAGCTAATGTGATGTATAACAAACAAACAAAAAGTCTGCATATTCTTATCTTTGTTTTGATATACATAAAGAGAGAAGGCTTTCCAATGTTATGGAAAACTTACTTTGCCAGGGAGCTGATGACTGCTTGGTAGGTGGCAAAGTTTAAGGCGGAAAATTATTGTGGGGTTTCTGTGTTTTGATTGAAAACATACTAAAGAAATTTGAAGAATAATGCAAATGGCTGTTAAAGTCTCTTGAAGTTCATTAAAATTTATTGCGTTTTAAAGGAGGTTTTTCCTTAATTTGCATAAGGTTAAAGCACAGCATTGCACAATTGAGCTAAAGTTAGCCATTGGCAGTTGTAATTTTATACCCATGTGAGCAAGTGACCTAAGGTGCAAGAGTGTAGGCTCAGTAGTGTAGCCAGCAAAAACAGCTCAATGTCCACAAAACAGATTACGTGGATTATTTCATTTATAAACCCCAATGAAAGTAGAGCAGGTACAAAAGGGAAGATATTTAAAATAAACTTTCAAAAGAAAATTATTGGAATAGAATTTTCTTTAAATTTTAGCTGGTTCTTTTTTCTTCTTCTTTTAACTAATGTTTAAAGCTGAGATTTTGGTAACTGTTGAAACTAATAAATAACTGTTTAGCTCTTGCTAAACAGTTTCCTGCCAGTTTAATGAAAGACCAGTGGTGTGTTTCTCTTTTTGCTTTCTGGAAAAAGGTCTGTCTCATAGAAAGCTCTCAGTGCTTTCTGGTTCATATTACAGTGTCATGTTAGAGTAGGCCAGTCCAGTTACCAGAGCATTTTAGTAACGTGACACTTGACTGACTGTGTGCTGTTTTCTTCTGTGACAAAGAGATATTATTCTTTATGCTACCAACGTGCATTCTGGTTATGCATTTGTCAATTGCAGTTTCATTTCCTTTGCTGGATGAAGGCTGCATCTTTGATTTTACTGTTTTCATAAGAGTTGTGAAGAGTCCCTGTGTTGCTGTGCACGCCAGATCAGCCACCTGCCACATTTTGAGCTGGAACCAAGTAAATAACTAGGGATGGTGTCTCTGAATTCTCTTGAGTGCGAACTTCATATGACTGATGCTCAAAATTAGAGGTAGCCACCAACAGGATGCCCTGCAAATGTAATTTTTTCTGTTTGTAGTGCAGCCATTGTGTGCACAGAGTTTTTGGAAAGTTCTTTACTGGCAACTTCCAGTAAACAATTACAGGTGTCTCTTTCATAGTAGAATACTTTTCTTTTGAGTGTTTCATTACTGTTTTTTCTGGTTTTTTGGGGGTTTTTTTGTTATTATTTTTAAATAATTGTTTCATGAGTTGTTACCTTGTTAAGTCTTTTAACACAGTAATGCCTCAGGATTACTTTTATATTCCTTAAATGTGGTTCTAATGCACAGGAATAAGAGGATCAAGTAAAAGAGATTAGGACAATAGACAAAAGTGAATGAGATAGTAGAGGAGAGCAAGGGATAAGGAGAAACCATGCTAAGAATTACTTGAATGGGTTTGGGGAAACCAATGTTAAGACAGTAGTCAGAAAGTGAAACTGGTAGTAAAAGTGAGTTAACTTGGCTGTGATGCTCTGAAAGAAACACATTTGTACAAAAGTAAGGATCCTGGGACAAAAAGGTGGTGAGAAAGAGAGTGTGGGAAAAAAGGAAGCTCTCTGTGTGGCAGCAGTAAAGCCCTGATGTCTCCCTGTCCTGACAGTGCAGAGATTAAAAGTATCCTTTCTTCTAGAAACTGCAAACTTGAAAGTAAAAGAAATGAAGTAGCATTCTGTGCTCCTGCAGTAGATCAGAAGGAAATAAGAAGACCTAGTATGGATAAAAAAATTACAGGGACCAAAACTGCTTTTGGTCTAAATCTCTCACCTTTTTTTTTTGGCTCTACATAGATACTTTGCTAGAGTTCTGTGAATTCTTTTTTAAGTCAAAGAAGTGCCATTCTAGGATAATTGAATAGTCTAGGATAATGAATAGTAAGTTACTGATGATATTTTAGAATCTGATGGTTGGTGAGCACAATGTTATAAAATATGGGAGAAAATTGCTAAAACCAAGTGCCCAAATAAGTGGCCCGTGGCCACACAAGAGTAGTTCAAAGAGAGGAATTCAGGGAATCTCTTATACATGTGCTTAACCCCATTGATTTCACTGAAACTTTGGTTAAATAACTACATTTCTGATTTTTTTTTTTCCCTAGAACAGTATAAAGATGTTGATTTGACTTGCTTCCAAACTGCCCACATTTTCCCAGACATATCTATCCAGGGCATCTTTTCTAAAGTAAAAGCCAAGGATCTGATGATGCTGTAAAAGATAGATTTATGAAAAGTTAGCATTTTTCATCTATTTTCTCTTGTGGGATGAAGAAGTGCTTTTGCCAGTCTGTGAACTGACTGAACTAAGCAGATTCTTACAATTACTCCAATGTTTTTGTGCCATTTGAATTGTGATCTGAGGATAGGAATATCTTGGAAAAATTACTAGTTGGGGAAGGAAGTGTTTCTAATTAGAGCTAGATGTTTCAGCTCAAGTTTTGAAAAGGTCACAAGATAAGGGTTCCCCTTTGACTAGATCCATGTGCATACTTGTAGTTCCTTGGGAATGAACACCAGTTTTTACATCAGCTTCACTAAAGTACTTCTCTGCAGGTAGAAAAGGCACCAAAGATATGAATGGTTGCTCTTTGCCAAAAAGGAAGATTTGTGTGAGAGTGGTGTGAATGGAAAAAGGACTGGGGCTTTCTTCTTTTGCCAATCAGTAAAAGAAATGCTGCCTCAAAAGAATCATTGAAATGCATTTTGGAGCCATGAGATGTGTTCATACCTCAAGAAAGAAAAACAGAAAGAGAAGAAAAACCCTAGCACCCCACACACACTTTTAAGATGGATCATAAACAAATGTGCTGATGTTGAAAGTAGAGAGAGGATCATTTAAACTGAGGTGTGTCTTGTTCACTGAAGGCTGATGAAGTTTTCTACTTGCAAAATCAGCTGTCATTGTCCCTTTATTAAAGGAGCAAGAATAGACTCTGCTCTAGGGACAAGAATAGAGTGGAGGTAAGAGTCTCTGATTTGAGTTTGCAGGTATTTTTAAAATTCTGTCTTGTTTCAGTCATGGTCTAAATATGGGAGCAGTAGCATGAGGCTTTTGATCTTTTGTATGGACTATGATTGTCACTGTCCCCTATTGCCCTTAAATCTCTGAAACAGAAGTGTACAATGAATCATGTTCAGTTGAATATAGTGGATTTTGTGTCCTGTTATATTTAAAAAGCAGTTGCTCTGTCATTGTTGAGGATTATGGTGACATGGAAGCTGGAGAGGCACAGCTGAGTTCTACAAAGAAAAGTGTTGGTTGTTTAACTTAAAATATTCTATTGTTTCATTCAAAGTTTGAACAGTGGGAATAAAAGATCTCATGCATTACTGCAGAAAAATATTAATACATGCTTAGAGTATCGTGATGGATGGTTTGTTAATGAAACTGGTGAGACTTTTGTGCTGTAATAAAAATGTCTAAATTCAATATATTCTTTTTAGAACTTTTGCCAAAATAATCTTCTCTTTTTCTGCTATCATAGTAGATTGCTTAAATAGAAGACACATGTATATTAGCATTCCAGCTTGAGCTAGGGGCTAACATTGCGGCAGTATTTTTGTGAAGATAAAGTAATCTTATTGAAATTTGCTGTACAAATATTCTTCATTGAAATCAAAAGCTCTAAGTTCTGATATCCTTAGCCAGGCTGACATCAGCAAAGAATTTGATTAATCTTTTTTCTTGTTTTGCTAGAATAACCCCTACACCCCTAGGAGAGGGGAAAAGCACAGTCACAGTTGGTCTCGTTCAGGCGCTTACTGCACACCTTAACATTAATTCCTTTGCTTGTCTGAGACAGCCTTCTCAAGGACCTACTTTTGGAGTGAAAGGTACATAATGTTTGCAGAACCCATGACCTTTTTCAGATTAAAAGGAAATACTGCTTTTCTGCCTTTTTGAATTTATTTCTTCTGTTTTACTTTCTTAATTGCTTCACTCAGTGGATTGTTCCAGTAGTAGCATATTTGATTAATACGGATGTAACTGATAGATTAAGGTTTCTTGCACATGACTTCCTGTGCAAGGTTCATACCTATGTTCCTGCATTTAACATGTACTGATAATGCAGATAAACCCTAACCATAAGGAAAGGCAGAGGGATGTAATTAGCCATGAGGAATTTTGTGTGAGTACACACTCTTCCAGCCACCCCTCTACGTGGGGACACTTTAAATACATTTCTAAATATTACTGTCTAATTGCTCCTTGAGAAAGGGTCCACATTGGATATTCACAAGCAGTACAAGGAATTTAGCAGTTGTGGTTCAGTTGTGTCAGCAGCACACGTTTGGCTAGGTCTGAACCTCTTCTCTCTGTTCTCCTGAGCTGTCGCCTCTAATCGTGGGCTGCTGCCTTTTTGCCTAGAAACCCTGTAAGAGCCTGAGGGCCAGGTAAGACCCAGCCAGATTTCAAGCCCATCTTCAATGCTGGTGATAGGAAGTAATGCAATCTCTTTTTTGCCATTTCTCAGCTGAAATTGGTGCCTAAGTGGGCAAGCACCCCCATCTGCTCTGCTTTGCTGAAGTTTAAGTTAACAAGTTTGGCTTCAGCTGGAAGGCTCCTGGTGCTTGGTGCTTCTCAGCTAAGACTGGTGCATGTGAGTGCTTTAATCCCCCCACTCAGCTTGTGTGTAGGCAACAGCAAATTTCTTTGCCTGTACCATGTACAGAGGAAGGAGTGCCCAGGCAAGGGTGTGAAGGTTTCATTCAGAAGCAGTGCTTGCTTGTGACTGCTTTGTCTTTCCACCCAGCAGCTGCATGTGCATGACTGTGTCCTAAATCCAGGCAGAAGCAGATTTACATAGCCAGAGCCTGCACCACCTATCACATGTAGTTTTTCATTTCAGAGCAAGAATTCCCTTTTTGCCACCTACTGAAAAAAAAAAAAAAAGGCAGCAAAACAAGAAAATCATGTTTATTTGGGTGCATCACTGATCTTCTAATAGAAATCAAAATGTCAAAAATGTGTCATCATTGCTGTGTGTTTCACTTAGTGTGTTTAAAGATGGTTGGTTTTTTCCAAAACTGATGTGACTGTGTGCTTCCCTGTGCAGGTGGAGCAGCTGGAGGTGGATATGCTCAAGTGATCCCCATGGAGGAGGTGAGACAGCCTCAGCCTGCAGTCTGTGGGATGGCTTAATGAGCATGGTGATATTCATAGCTGAAGATTGACTTGGTGATCTTGGATCTTTTCCCACCCTAATGATTCTGTGACATTCACAGTGTTGGTTTGGAAATGTATGGCTGTTTTACCCCAATAGAGTCTAATTTAGAGCTCAGCAAAACCTCTCTATGGCTAGAACTGGTGAGGAACCACCTTGATGGGGCACAGTTGATCCAAGGAGAGTCCTAATGTCAGCCCTGAAGTGCCTTTAAAACACATCTTCTAACTCCTTCTGTCAGATACATAAAAATACAGTACCTGTGTAACACAAGTCTTAATTTGAGATGCTCATTTCAGAGTTTTCACAAAATTTTGTTTGTTAAATTTTGTATCGGCAACGTTCATGCCAGTGAGGTGTGGGGCTGTTCTCCTGCAGCTAACAGGAAGCTGGGCTATGGCCACAAAGCCAGGATGCAGGCTGTGCTCTGGGGCACATTCAGCAGTAATGCACACCTCTGCTCCAGGCCAGGTAGTGGGTAGTAATGCTAAACTGATTCCATGTTAATGATGTGGAACTGAAACTCTGGGCTTCTTACTCTTGAATCATTTAGCAAAGAATGAAGATGTTCTTGGCTTTGTTTGGCTACACTTGAGAGTAGTTTACCATGTGCTCAGATGAAAACAAGTCCTTCATATGTCCCAGTGTATTTTCACCTGGAATTCTTTAGCCTGTCCTGACAGCTGACTAACCAGAGCTGCAGTCTCAAGGAGATAGCAATGATTTGTGCTGCTAATTTGTCTTAGTGAATTGAATTATATATTTTCTTATAAAAAGATCCTATTGTTTCCCCCTTCTAGTTCAATCTTCATTTGACTGGAGATATTCATGCTATAACTGCTGCAAATAATTTGCTGGCTGCTGCTATTGATGCTAGGATCTTGCATGAGAATACTCAATCTGATAAGGTGAGAAAGATTTTCTTCTATCCAGATGACATTTTTCATTTTTAGTTTTTCAATAAACTGCATTTCAGAGAAAAACATGTTGTTTATCATTTTATATTTTCACTATGTGAACAGTAAGTGTTGCTGAAGCCATTTTATGTTCTGCTGGGAAATTTTCCATATACAATGTATTTTTCTAGCAAATAGCTATCATAAGGTAGTCTTTAAGATAATGATCCTGCGCCCAGAACATTGACAGCTATTTCTGACTGTACTAAATAGTGTAATAAAGCATATTTTCCCTACCTATAATCCTATTCTTGTCTGTAATTTGAAGACTCATTTCAAAGTTACAAATTGTTATTTCTGATGTGTGGTTGGGTATGATGCACCTTAAGAAGAATGAGTTATGGGGAAAACAAACTATATCCTTGTCCCTCTGCTAAATATATAATGACCTTAAACAAATCTTAACTTGGGGCTTTAAAGGGAAGGAGATCAAAGAAGAAGCTCTTTTTGTTGTCTGCAGCATTGAAACTGAGCAGAGTTGTATCCTTTGCTTGGTACATTTGTACACAATGTACATTTAGGTCAATGAACTTCTAGGCCAGTTTGGAAATTATAATTGTAGTTTAAATACTTTGGATCTTGGTTAAAGTTTTTAAAGGTTCCCAGTTTCAAAATTAATATATAATTATTTGCTGAAACAGAGAAAACCAATGATTTCTGGCAGTTGAATTTCAGACTGTTAAATCATAGACATGGCTCAGAAGCCTGCTGCCTTCTCAGAATTGTTTTTTGAGTCTCTAATCAGAAGTCCACAACTTATGTGGTTAGGAAGTTCTTACTGAAATTAGGTGGAATAAATTAAAAAAACATTAGCTTTTTATAACTTTTCCCTTCAACTTCTTGTGTGGTTTTCCCAGTCTCTGTATAACAGGCTGGTTCCGGTGGTTAATGGCGTGAGAGGATTTTCTGCTATTCAGCTTGCCCGCCTGAGAGTAAGTTGTTCATTCAGTCTCTCCTCTTTTATGGTGCCTCTTCATGAAATGCATTCTCTTACGCAACTTGTTTAAAATTACTTGATGTATGGGACTGAGTTTGTATAAACTCTCATAAATATATCAAATCTAGACTTTTTTTCTGAAAGCATCATCCTTGGAGTAATAGGATCTGGGTCTGATATTATTTTTATAACTAACATTTTTGCTATTCTTTTCTCCTGAAATAAACCAGTAATGTTTTTAAATGCTGTGTCTTTTCTGATGAAATATTAAAGTCGGAGTTTTTAAAATACTTTTCCAATTATGGTATAGGCACATTTGAAAGCTCACATTCTTTGGTTTTGCAATATTTTCTGATTTTGAAAGTCTAATATAGCATATACTTCTAGGGTTTTATTGATGTCAGTCTGACAGTGTTCTTCCTTCAAGGGGTACATTTGCATGCTCAGTGTATTTTTGCATCCCATCTTGCTCCCTGAATGCTTCCAGAAGAGCTTCCTGTGCAATTCATGTGTGTTCAACATGTTTGGATTTGAGAGTGCCGTTCTGATAAAAACCTAGAGAGGAACACAGCTCATCAGTGTAGCAGAAAGAGAATATGAACCTCTCAGATATGACCCCTAAAGACAGCTCCAGTTCTTCTGTGGCCAGTTCCATGTTTGTTGTTGGCTTCTGAGTCCTGACTGACCATGTTTCAGTCATGGGATGGCAATGGGCAGCTGCCACGTGCACACTTGGAATTTGGGGGTGGAAAGAAGGATAAGAGGTAGTGACAGCTTCTGTTTTGGTGGGGGGTAAAGGAGGCCTCATAACATTTTAAGCTTTTGTGCTGCTCAGTTGAATATCAGTCAGCTAAAATGAGGCTGATACCTGCCTGACTCTGAGGCAGGGTCAGGCTCAGAGATTGTTCCATCAAAATTTTGGGATATTTTCAGTTTGTTCTTGTTTACACTGTTGCAGAAAACAGGTTAGGGAAGGAGGGGGAGTGTTTGCTTTATTCATGAAATACCAACTATCTCTACATTTGAAATGGATTTCTCTCTTCACATGATCTGCAACTGAGTAAATAAAAGTTTGGCTTAATAGCATTCAAATACATGAATCATAATTTCCAATATAATTGAATTATTTTGTTGTGAATTATTCTCAGTGTAATGATTCCTTATATCCAACAAGATGTCAGTTGTAAAGAAATCACTGTGGCATCAGGTTGCCTTTTTCTTAAAACAGGATTACTAAGATTGAAATTTACATATGTGGGGTTGGTAAGCCAGAGCAGCTACACCATTTGAAGCAAATAAGCCATTTCATTGCACTTCTTGAACTTTTTGTGTGTAGAGGCTGGGAATAAACAAGACTGATCCTAAGACTTTAACAGAAGAGGAGATCAGCAAATTTGTACGCCTTGATATTGACCCATCCACCATAACATGGCAAAGAGGTATGTAGTCAGAAAACTTCACTTTATCTTGGATTTCATCATAACTTATCTCCTAATTTGCTTCATTTCACTTGAATCAGAGCTGACAGTGAGAATAACCAATTTGCAAGTGGGAAGTGTGGGTTCATAACAAATGCAGGTGCAGCATGTTGCCCTAAACTTCGTCAAGTATCTGCAATAACTCAAGAGACTTTGCTAAAATTCTGAAAGATAGGTTTCTTTGGCAGTTTAAAGACATCCCCAGTCACTCTCACATTAGGTCATACCTCTCCAGACATGTGAAAGTGTCTTTTTTGTGCATTCTGCAAATCTTAGCCATTCTTTTCTTAACTGTGTCTGTTATGGTTCTAGATTATTTGTATTTATCCTTCTTGAATTTGGTCCCTCATCCTCCCAAGCTCAGCAGCCTGGATGGCTCAAGAGACTTAATAGGCTTAAGGGATTATGTGTTTTTCTGATTTTTGAAGTCTCTTGAGTTGTTTGCTTCATTTGGAAAAAGAGATGAAAGATGTGGTGCTGTTGCCAAGCAAACTGATACCCACTCTGATACCCTTAGACAAGTCCCCTCTGCTTTTTCAAGTGCTGGGTCAAATTTCAGTGTTTACCTCAATTTCTATACCTATCTTTTTCTTCTTTAGGGAAATAAACTTTGCATAAAGTTTTGAGATAAATACCACTGGATTTTATTTTCTTTCTTAGTTCTTAAACACTGACGTTATCACTGTAAAATGGAATGTATTGTGATGCTTAGAAATAAGGGTGAATCTGTTGAGAAGGGAGAAGCCTTGGCCATGCCTTGGTGTGCCCTTTGTGTGCATGTCATCTCAGGCTTGGGATGTTTTTCTCAAGACAGTTCTGGGGATGTGGCATAAGATGTTTTTTATTAGTCACACAGTGTGTCTGGAAGAGACCTGTATTAGGATAAAGAAGTAATATAAATGTTTAGTGTAATATGACTCCTCTTTTTTATCAGCAAGGGTTTGGGAGAAGGCAACATTGCTCAACAGCTGTTAACCTCAAGGGAGTTATTTAATTAATCTCAAACGATGTTAGTGAAATTTCTATTCCACACAGCTCTATATGATGTACATACCTTAAACATTTTAGAAAAAAAACCCTGAATTGAGGAATGGTTTAGATAACTTGGAGAATGTTTTATTTAGGACTGTTTCTGCAGTCCATATGTCTATGAAGCTTGTTACATACCAGGGAATTTGTGGGGAAAAAGAGCTAAGCTGTCACATCTGAAAATTAATTTTGGTCACGACCTGTTTCCATAGAAGTATCACAAACTTTCAGTTCATGGTCAGCTTACACTAACTTGAAAACATACAATATACTGAAAAGTGGGAAAGTTCCTTCTTTGTCTTTCCCTGATAGTCAGATTCTGTTTACATCTCTAGAGGATAAGAAAGTGGCTACATTAAACCTAACACTTATTTGAACCTAAACCTTAGTGAAAGCTTTACTTCGGGTAAAGGAAGAGGGAAGACTTGGAGAAGGAAAATTTGTTTTTATGGCAAAACCAGTTATTTCTCATTTTATTACTACTTAGTGCAGCTATTGGAATCTTGTTGGAGAGTAAGTGACCACAGTGAGAATTGGTCAGAGTGACCCCAGTAAGTATACCCCAGTGACCAGGGGCTGCAGGAGCAGTTACAATTTCATAGTAAGGGTGTTTAGGTTACATGATTTCACAAGGAAGGTGCAGATAAAAAAATCAGCTCACTGGCTGTCCAGGCTGGTGGGAAGGTAAGTTCCTGCCCTTAGGAGTGCCTGTGTAGACAGGGAAGACATTTAGGTCTGCTTAGGCTGAGTTTCCAAGGACGAGAAGGGAGAAGTCTGTGCTGGAGAGATCAGCTTGCCATATGGCCTCATTGTGCCATGTGGTGCCACAGCTTGGTGCAAGGCTACAGCTTCCATCCACCAGGCTCTGTTCTGCAGCTCCTGCCAGCAGTGGAGTGTTTTAGAGCATGACTGTATATATAGAAAGAAACATGAGTTGGCCAAATCTGCGTTGCACCATCCCTTAAATGGGATTCCTGAAGAAATTAGGGGCCTAAAGACTGAGCAGAGGGAAAAAGATATGTGTGGTATTTACAACAGCCCCAAGGGAAATGCCCAAGAAGGGGGAAAGTGACTTAAATCTTGGTTTTCTCCCAGCTCAGTCACAACCCTGAACTGCGGTTTAATTAACATTCAAAGTCCCTCTTGTTCTTGTGTAATTATGTCATCTTTTTCTGTGCAGACAGATTTTTTTTTTAATTTCCAAAAGCAGCAGGAAAAGTGGAAGGAGCTCACTTACCTTGAGTGCTGACAGCTTCTTTGGAGGTTCCTGGACACTCTGCTTATAAATGAACAGGATTCAAATCTACCAGGAGATTGAGTTCATTGCCAAGCTAAAAGCTGAACTTATCAAGAGTACCTTGCACCCTTTATTTTAGGATTGGTGCAAATATAAGCATTTCTAGGACTACAGAGACTGTGAGAAAAAGATAGTCTGTTTTTTCCTTTAAAAGAGGAACTGACCAAATCTGACCAACATGATGTAGTCCTAAAGTCAGTTCTTAAAAAATCAGCAATGAAGCAGATGATTTGGAGTAGATCTGGTGCTTTGTATCTACTAAGACTGATTTTTGTCATGTAGGTAAAATACTAAATAGCATTTTAGAATTCTAAGAAGCTGTTACCTTCAAATGCTGCTCAAATAAACTGTATTTGAGTTGTTTCAAGCTGTCATCAAATGGTATCAACTAGAAGGGAGCAACCAAGTCAGTGCCAGTGCTGATATGCAGAAGTGTGGCCATCTGGTTACGCTGTTGGAGCACTTGAATCTCATATGTGTTGAGTCTCAAAAAATACAGGTATGCCTGGAAAAACCCATATTCCTGAGTCCTTGTTAACATGTTGTGCTTTTGCCATTCCCTTATTTCAGTGGTGGATACAAATGACAGATTCCTGCGCAGAATAACAGTTGGTCAGGCAAACACGGAGAAGGGATTTGTCCGTCAGGTATGTAAAGCATTAATAAATCACACTCTGGACAGACTCTGTGTTAGAGGCTGAGAGGGTTTCTGCAGTTCTTTCAGCATACTTTGAATCACCATAATGATGTCTGTTGCTGTTGTATAAGAATCTTGCAGTGAAACTGATGGTGTTAATGAGTAAGTGAATCTGAAATTTCAGAAACACAAACCAATGCATATTCTACAATGTGTCAAAAGCATGTGTTGGGGGTTTAACATTGTCTTGTAACAAGATGCCTTTATGCCCTCATAAAGTTAATTAGCATTACTTTTAATTGTTTTTAAATCTCTGTAACAATTTATGTAGAACACACATAATTCAAATTACATTTAAATTTCATTTTAAATTTTCTTTAAAAATAAGCTTTTTATTCAGAGTTCTCATTTGCCTGTCATGCATCTCAGCTTTGGAATCTGAGCTGTAAGAACTTTGAGCATGTGCTTGCTTTTGCTGTGTGGCTTTGAAGGGATACTTCAGCAAAAGAGTATGTGTGTACTTTTCAGTGGTGTAAAAAGCTAACCTCCCTTACTAAATGAGAGATTATGGAAGTTTATTAAAGAACTTACTGATAAATTGAAAACCAGACTTTCCCAACACCATCTGAGCAAGTGTTCCTGGTGTAATGTAGGTAAATGAATTTCTGAAACAGCCCAGCATGGAACAGCAGTGTCAGGAGGAATAAATTCATTGTGCTGATGTGGTGTGGCTCTTAATTTGATGAAGATCTTGTAATCTAACATTCTGGATCTTGAAATTCATGAGATTCTGACTATTTTGATGTGAACAGCTCTCGTGGTAAAGATAAGGATTTCCTATTTTTGGAAATCCTATCATTAAGTTTTCTTTACCATTTCTTCAGCATTTCTTTTATGTATGCCTAAATAAAGACACCAAAACATAGTGCTGTGGTTTCTGCAGCAGGTAAAGCAAAGCCAAATTGGAGAGAAGAACTTCAAAGAGAAATTATAAAATCCTAGAGCAGTTTGGGTTGGAAGTGATCTTAAAGATCATCCAATTCCAACCCCTCTGCCCTAAGCAAGGACGCCTTCCACTAGAAATGCTCTCTTACTTTGGTTTTGAATGCAAAAAATAGAAATGTTTCTGTCTGCAGCTCACAGGAAATTCAATATTAGCTAATAGTCATTTCTGATAATGGGCTGGGACTACAAAATATTATATTTGGTGTGAGTTCCTTCAACACTTGAGACCTTTTCATATGTTTAAATTTGTTTCAGTGACTCAATATGATTATTAGTCTTAAGCTGGATTCTGACAGCCTTATTGTGTAGTGTTTTACCACTGTAATTGTACTACTGAGTTAAATGTGACTATTTTATTTTAGAGTAGTACTTGATAATATTGCTGTCAAATGTTGCTTCTGTACTTTTTTAGGTAAAATTAATGCTTTTAGTATTGAGATGTTGGACTGATGCATATCCATTCACATTTTAACATGGACTTACTGACTCAAGAAATAGAGGTAGCAGTTAGGAAAACTCATTTCAGAGCCTAGCTAGAGATCCAGAGCAAACAGGACTTCATAGTTAACAGATGCATTTTATAAATATTTGGAGTGATGTTCTAGCACTCTTAAAATCAATGACACCTGTGTAAAAAGGCGGAGCACAGCAGGCACAAAAGTCTGCATTTTAATGAACAGGGATGCTGTGGTTTCTGAAGAGTATTACATGACTGATGCCCTTGATCCTGCAATTGAATCCATGTGGGTGGATCCTTTCATCAATAAAAAACTGACTTTGCAGCTAAGGCTTCTGTCAGCACTTCATAGGTGTATAAAGGTTATTTAGAGTTAAAATAGCACCTGCTACTACTATCTTTTGTGCCTGTTTCTTCAATTAAATTTTATGCTGCTCTTTGAGCATCTACCTGGGATGTTTTTCCTGTCCTTTTGGATTTATATAGAAATAATGATAAAAACTTTCTTGGGGATCTTCCAATAAACATTCTGATAAATCAGAAGTATTTTACCATATGGGTTGGACATAGATTTCTCAGGCTTATTTCTTGTCTCATATATGCTGCAATGACTTACTGAGCACATTCTCAAATTCAGAAAAGATAGTGGAATCCATGTCATCACAATGCTAACAAAGTTCATTGCATTTAGAACTGCTTCCAAAGAATACAGAAAATCTGTTTTGTGATTTCACCATTTCACTTGAATCACTATGCTGAAAATCTCAGTTACAGAATTATTTTTCTTTTCTGCGGTATGTAGGACTCTCTGCCTATGTCCGCAGCAGAAAAGTGCTCAGGTGTCTTCAGAAGTTTTGACTAAACAAGTGGGTACATAGAGGTCAGCCTGAATGGGGCTGCTCTGGGCGGTAGCTGTCAAAAAATAAAATCAGGAACATGGGTTTAAAAAGTGCAGAAGTTCTTAAAGTACTAGGCAAATGCACAAGAGTGGTAGGGGGTATGTTCTATGTAGATGCTTCTTAAAAACAGACAAAGCTCTCAATTTGAACAGATTCCTCTGGTATTAGTATGGGGTACATCTGCCAGAGGTCTGATAGAAGCAGTCCTGGGCTTTTTTCTTACATAGATAGCAGTAGGATGTCAGTTACTAAACTTTATGTAGCCTTTAATTGCTGGAGATGGAGAGATTACCAAGGAAATTGCAGTTCTTGATCACTGCCAACACTGCATTCCTGTCACATAGTACATTAGTGGCTTTTCTGTTCTTCTCTGTTTATGTTCTGACAGCATGTGGCCTGAGCTCTACTAATAGTGTATTAGTACAAGTACTGCTAATCTATACTCTTCAAGAAAAGTAAAAACTATTGCTTATGTTGTGCTGAAATGCTGCACAGTATGGGTGTGTTTCTACAAGAGCAATAGAACTGATGCCACATATAGTTAGTTCTTTGTGCTTTTTGGTTTACATATTTGTTCATTTAATTACAAAAAAAAAGGACCAGAGATATATTTTATGTTTTCATAGGTCAAGCACAAGAATTAACAGCACAGACTCTAAATTTTGAGCTTAAGTAGAAAAAGAATGATCAAATGTAACAAGAATGTTTTTGAAACCAGAATAAAAACCTGTTGGAGATCATTACAGAAAAAAAAAAATTAAAGAACCCTCCACAATGCAGTGTTCCTTTGCTCAGGCCAGTAAAGCTCAAAAGACATCTGGTGATTTCCTGTTTCTGCCACAGAAAGAAAGTTCTTGATCCTTCAGGGAGCTTCTCTAAGGATAATGTGAGCCAAGGGGCTAAACAGTCTGCAACACGGGTCCTCAAATAAATGTAGTGTAATGGAGAATATTAATCAGGAAATATAAAGTGTTTGAAGTTCACAGAATCATACAACATCTTGAGTTGAAAGGGATACATCAGAGTTGGACTTGGCCCTGTGCAGGACCATCCCCAAGAGTCATACCTCATGCCTGAGAGCATTGTCCAAATGCTTCTTGAAGTCTGTCAGGCTGGATTCTGTGATCACTCCCTGGGACTCTGTGCACAACCACCCACTGGGTGAAGAACCGTTTTCTAATATCCAGTCCAAACCTCCCCTGACACAACTTCAGGCCATTTTCTCAGAGAAGAGAAGAGATCAGTGTCTGTCCCTCCTCTTCCTCTCATGAGGAAGTTGTGACTGCAATGAGGTCTCCCCTTGGTCTCCTCCAGGCTGAACAGACCAAGTGACCTCAGCTGCTCCTCATATGGTATCCCCTCAGGATCTGTTACCATTTTTGTAGCCCTGCTTTGGATGCTTTCCCATATTTTTATGTCTTTCTTGTATCATGGCACCAGAACTGCCCCCAGCACTGGAGGTGAGGCTGCCCCAGCCCAGAGCAGAGCAGGACAATCCCCTCCCTTGCCTGGCTGGCCATGCTGTGCCTGATGCCCCCAGACAGGGTTCGCCCTCCTGGCTGCCAGGGCACTGCTGGCTCATGTTCAACTTGCCATTGACCAGGACTCCCAGTCCCTTTTTGCAGCTCTTCATTCCCACAGCTCATTGTCCAGTCTGTATGTAAAGTTACTCTAGTCTTAATTAATCTCAAAAGTTGTAAGTTACCATTTAGAACTTGTTTGAATTCCAGCGTGAAATTTATCTTTCCTGAGTTTATTCCTGATGATCCCCTGTGAGTATTTCAGCTGACTTTGATTTGGTTCATGATTCTCATTTCTACTTTACAGGCTCAGTTTGATATTGCTGTTGCAAGTGAGATTATGGCCATCCTGGCACTTACCACCAGCCTTCAAGATATGAAAGAAAGACTGGGGAGAATGGTGGTGGCTAATGACAAGAAAGGACAACCAGTAACAGCAGAGGATTTGGTATGTTCAGTGCTGTAGAGACCTGTGAATAACCTCAGATGTTTGTTTTGCCTCTTGAAGCATTAAAAAGGCAGGTACATGCCAAAGCTTTTGCTTTGAACAGCACAGTCAGATATCAAAGGAAGATCATCTTCTGGGCCAAAACCTGCTTGAGAATGAGAACAAGATGTAGAACTCATTTCTTCAGCTCTGGTAACATCTGGCTCAGAAAGCCTCTGGTCTCCATAACCTACTTGGATCATTTTCTGCAATTCTTAAGGCAAACAAATTCAGTGCTGGAGGGAGTCAAAGTGCGGGCTCTTATTTGAGAGAGCTGGTAATGTTTGCTACTGTGCTTTTAGAGTCTGCTCAGATGTTGCAGTGATAGTTACCACATGAGTGCCTGTACCACTGAATCAGAGTGGAAACAAGCTGTTCTTAATTCAAAGGTTGCTGATAGTGCTTGGGACAGGTTTATCTGTCATTTGATTTTTTTTTTCTTCTTTACCTTCACTAGTTGCTGTTTCCTCATTCCCTACTTCAGCTTCTGAAAAAAACCAGTATGTTTTTTCTTTAAATCACATTCTATGCCTTGAATCTGGGCTGTGAGTCATTGAACAGTGGTTGGAAGCTCACGTGAGGTTGTGTATGGCAGGTCCTGGTGCAGCCAGAAGCTACCAGCTGATGTTTGTAACCAGCTGTGAGCCAGGAGCAGTCTGATGCCAGCCCATCTCTGATGGCTGCCTGTATCACACGGGCTCTGTATGTTTTCTTCTCTTTCTTCCTGTTTCTCCCTGTTTCGTGAACATCTGCTCAAACTTACGAGTAATGAATGAATAAAGCAATGAGTATCCTGCCCTGTCAGCAAAGATAGCAAATCTGCAAGTCAGGAGCACCTTCACAGCTGTAGTGGGTTCCAGTTTAATAAAGAAATAAAAACATGATATCTAGAGTTCCTGGATTTAAGAATGAAATTAAGATAAGGTTAAAAAAATTTCTAAGTACAGTCGTCATTAAAATTCAAAGTAAATAATCTTCTCCCAATTATGCAGGAGACATATTCTAGCTATTGAAGTTTTACTTTTGCTTCTCAATTGTATAACTTTGTCTTGGCCGCATTATAAGGCATATTCTAATACTTTAAATTATTGAGTGTTAGAATTATAACTGCATTTGTAGCATGTGATTTTAATTTTGACACTACTTTTGTATGAAGGTACTTTTATTTATTAGCACTGCAAAATAGTTGACCTGCTAACACTTAATGCTAATCAGCTTGATGAATGAAAGAAATGGCTTTTCCATTGGGGCAAAAGAATTTTAGAACTTTTCCATCGTGTCCCTAAAATGAAAGTAGTGCTCAGCAAAATGTCTGTTACTAATTCAATTTTCTTTGGCTTTTTTTAAAGCAAACTTCCTATGCTTAGTGTCTCAATCATTTGATAGTTTTGCTTGTACTGAACATATGTTTCTAGTTGTTCTTTAAAGCAGTGTTTTGTATTATAAAAAAAAAAAAAAAAAAAAAAACGAAAAACCTGCCCAGAAAGAAAAAATCATCACAGTCTGAAGGACATGTGTTATGAGTATCTGCAGCTGTGCTGCTGCATTCTTTTCCTTCTGGAGATTCTCCATACCATGCACAGGAAAAACTTGGGTGCATGTCATGATTGGGAAGTGCAGGAACTCCTACCTCTTTTGTTGTGCAGTGTGTTAAAAACGAGTATGAGAACCATGGGAATAAGAGGAATATGATTTCATGGTTAAGGATGTAAAGCATCTCTTTGGAGAGCTCCATTCCTGTGTTCTTAGCAAAACATTCATGAGGTGCTCTGTCCACACTGATTCTTGCAGTACATAAGGAATTAGTCATTACTCAGTCTGGTTTAATACTAGAGAGCTTAACAACTCAAATTTATGGAAAGAGTGAAACTTCATCAAGAACCTTGAACCAGGAGAAATTATTTTCTGTTGTCTCAGGTTGAGCATCCAAAATTGGCGAATATTTTTGAGCTTGATTCTTGTGTGCACAGGTTTCTCTTTTGAAGAACAGAAACAATTGTTCATTTCTGAAGACTTACTAATGTTGCTGAAGAAGTCAGATGCTGTGGTGTTGGGATTTAAAAAATGTCAAAAGAATTTAGCAGTGGGGTCTCTATGATTTCTGTACCAAATTAAATAGTGCTTACTTTGTACAGGAGGAGAGAGCTCACAAAAAACCATACTGCACTGGTGGAAGTCTATTGTATAAAGTTGAATTCTCTGGAAACAGCAAGAGAAGTATAGTCAAAGACCATAACAAGTCATAATTCTTATTCATATGTAGGAAGAAGATAAATTTCTGTTCTTTCATGTAGCATTTTGTCTCCTTTGCTGGTTTCTTCCCACAGGTGGTCAGTCTGTTTGAGCAGCTTGGAACTAAGCCTACCATTTCTAGACTTTAAATACAGTACCTACTCTTCCCCTTTTCCCCTGCAGCTTGTGCTGCCTGTGTTGATATGATCCAAGGATTATTTCTTGGGAAAATTTTCACAGATATCAAGAGGTTTGATGTGAAGCAATTCTGCTCCTGAATTTCAATCCTCCTTTCAGGTCAGGGTCAGTGAAGAGGTAAAGCTCTCCAGTTCAGTAAGGAAAGATTTCAAGGCAGGTGAACAAAGAAAGAACAATGTACAAGATGTTAGAATGCTCTCAATCCAGGTTCAATAATTTTGACTTCTATTTTTGTAAAACAAAATCAAGTTCAAAAGCTTGAATCTGTCATAGTGTGTTGACATGGAACATTTTAGCCCAGAGAACTGCAATTGCATATAGTTCTAAGAAACTTTAAAGGCACTTTTATCATGAGAAATACCACACAACCTGAATAATGGGTCAGTTCTGCCTATCTTTAAAAAAAATTCTGGGGTTCATGTTTATATCCTATATAGATTGAATTTATGCAAGTTTAAATATTTGACAGTAGTCTTTAGTTTTTTGAAATCTATGTGAACCAAAACCACTAAACCTTTCTCTGTGATTTGTTTCCAGATGTAAACACAAAATACTTCACAGAAATACAATTGCTCTTAATTTTGACTTTATATGCAATATATTTATCATAATGCAATAGTAAAACCTAAAATACACATTGGCAGATATAAACCATATGCAGAGACAGGCTAGGAATAATAGAAAAAAGATAAATTGAATATTTCATTAATTGAGAAGACTCTTTCCACAAGAGTAATGGATTAAATGTCTATCCTCTGTAATGGAATATGTTGAAATCTTTGCCAAAATGTGGTGCTCATTGTACAGTATTTTGAAGACTTAATTGCTTTTTGGCTTTTACAGTGAGGTAGAATTCTGATGGACACATACCATATTTTTATGTGAAGCTAAATCAGAATATATGCCCAAGATCAGTATTTCAGCAGATATGAAAAATATTAAATAAATATGTCACTTTTTTTTTTAAATAAGACTTCTTCTCAGCTTACTTGCTGTGCCATACTGTTAGCTTTCAGTAATTCTGGGACCAAAAGAAAAAAATAAATAGCTTCATATTTGCTTATGTAAATGATCTGTCAGCTAGTGAGATTTTGTTCTCTGGTTGATCAGAAACATTGTGTACAGTGTTCACTTCAAACAAAAGGAGTTGCAGTTCTTCTCACATTGTGGTTTAAGGTTTAGTTTTGTTACAGGACTGAAATTACAGAAAGTATTATTATTTTGTTAGAGACTATAGTTTCAATTGAAGGGAGGTTGCAAGTACTTCATTATTTTCCTTTTAAAGAAAAGGGTTTTTCTCTGCCCTTCAGTCTGTGTAGCCTTTATTCATTTCATAGTAGTTACTTTCAATCACTTTCCTTGTCATCTGGTGTTGGCTTTCATTTCCAGTCTTGATAGACTTCAGAGACTGCTCCACTGGAAGTTGCTTTGAAAGTATTTTGGATTTTTATCTAAGTTTGCCTTTCCTGTGTCATGTGTATAATTTATTTTATGCTCTGTGATCTGTGCTGTCCTGGGGAGCATACCTGCCCTGATGGCGGCTGGATAGATGGAAGGAGCATTATTTTCAGGAATACCTGTGATCAATTCCAGGAAGGAGCCCAGAAAAGTTGAACATCTGTATACAATTGATTCAGAGCCCTGCTTCTTTCCTCTGACAGTGAGTTAGTGGAAATCTAATGATCTTTGGGCTCTCACAAGCTTAATTGGTGTGCAAGTGTCAAAGCTTCTAATTCTTTTATAAGAAGTTTACCTGTTCTGAATTGAAAATAGTAACCTGATTCCTAAAAGAGCTTTGTGAATCAGATCCAGGACTTGGAGTGAGCTGTAGGAATTGTATATTAGATACTTGGAGGATTGAATATACAAAGAAATGAAAACTTCATTCTCAGTTGTGTCAGGTATGAAAACCTAAAAAAAGTTTGTTTAGCTTTTAAGGACTGCTAGTGACACCAAGCCTGGTTAAGAACCATGGGAGGCACAAGATATGCCTATTGAAATATTTGCATCCTTTTTTCTTTGCTTTCAGCCTCAGATAAAATGAGTTGTTGTGTCCAGAAGGTGTGTCTAGTATTTCCGAAATGATGCATAACTAATATCTCCCAAAAAGTTCAAATGCAGAGGAAGTGTTTTTTTTACTTCACTGTTTTTATCAGACTGGTGAAGACATCAGAAAACAAAGGAGACAGGATTTGAGCCATTATTATCTAGAAGGAGCAGGGGAGGAGGCTGGGGGAGAAGTGTCCTGATTTTATTTTTCACTTCTTCTTTCCCCAAGTCTTCTTTCCAGTAGGCCTGATCCATGGCTGCTCAGGTAGTTATTCCTGCTGCTGACCACTTGAAAGACCAGATGTAAAGTTTTGCATTTGGCTTTTTTTTTTTTTTTTTTTTCCTCTAGAAATGAGAGTATTTGGGTCTGTAAACAACATAGCACCAGGCTGTTTTTATGGAGGTGGTAGAGTCTCACCATTTTGAAAGAGCTGGAGTGCTTATGTTTCCTTGCATTTTAATCCTAGCTTCTAAAATCAACA